CCCTTTGTATATCTGATCTGAGCATAGAATATAAATCTTCCACAATCTATACTCCTCTCTTTCCATCTTACTTGCTGCCTCAGCCGCTCACTCTACAGGCAACCATACTCAAGTATTTGCTGCTCCTGCAACTTCCCATGCTAAGTCCCAGTTTGGAACGTTGTTCTCTCTTCGCATGCCCTGCTCCCATCTGTCTAACATGTGCTCACATTTTGGGGCTCAACTCAATCTTCTCTTCCTTTGCAAGCTTCATCCATTACCCACCCCAACTCCCACCCTACGTAGCAAGCACAACCTCCTCTGTCAAGCTTCAGGTCTACATACACGTTGTCAATATGAGTTTGCTTCTTCTGAATTATAAGCTCCTTGAAGACAAGACCTTTATCACGTATACCTGTGTACCTCAGTTTCCAGCTCACAGGAATAAATTAAATATTGCTGGAAGGAAAAACAATGGAGCCCAATCTTTGGATCCATGTGAAATGAGATGATCGCAGAAATACATGGAATCATCATGTGGCCTGTCCCAGCTAGCTGCGTTCATTGTGAATCCAGCACTCAGGCTGCACTAGTAAGCAAGTCAGGTGGACGTTCTCCTTCATGTGAGCTGACTTTCAGAGATGGAAAAGGAGGTAGTGACTCATACTGGCTTGCTTCCTTGGAAATTAGTAAAAACAAAACCCAACAAAACAACACTCCCCCTTCCTGAATATTGGCACTGGCTCAGGCTTTCCTTTTCCGCAGTTGCCTCTGTCAGGCAGCACTCCCCATGTGTCGCTGCTGGGCACCTGTGTGCTCTGAATCCCTCAGTGAAGGTCAGTCTGGAATACTAAACGGATGGATGCACAGTCCTGGGTTTTGAAAACTGGATCCTAGCAGTTGAGATGCATAACAATGCACTCTCTTTTCAGGTTCCTTCTGTTCTAAGCTTCCCATAAAGAGGCCCATTTTAGGAACCAGTTCCTCGAGCTGTCCCAATTTCTACACCTGAACTGAAAATAATTAATTTGAAGCAAAAAAAAAAAATCCCGGGAATGTTTCAGTTTTATATGCACTTCCACAAGCTTGTTTCCACACCAAAACAACACTTGCAATGCAGTCAACATCACAGGGGCCACATGCACAAAAGGACAAAAACTCTGTACTAAATAATAAAGCAAAAACAAAAAAATTCTCCTACACTACATTCCTTACTAATTTCAGGTGAAAAAATTTTTAGTTAGCAAGAAAAAATTGACCCATGCATTAAGTAGATGATATACTTAATTCAGGGTGAGTGGAGATAGCTAGTCAGTTGTCATGGTAGAAAGTAAGTTTTGGACATTCTGCTTCCCGTTACTATCTAAACTTGTGAAATACTCAGAGTCAGAAAGCAGGGCTAATTTTAGACCCTTATTTAATGCATTCAAGAGCATGATTCATTTTCCCTTGCCCTGAAACAGCCTTAGGAATCTTAATATATGGCAAGCACTGTACGACGGCCTGTAAGTTAGTGGAAGTCTCACTGAAAGCCGAGAGGAAGCCAGAGGCACTACATGTTCTGCACCAGCGACGGTGCATCTCCAGGCACCTGCACGCCAACACACAGAGCCAGGTCTCTGAGCTGCAAGAGTCCGGCTCATGGCAGCTTTGTGCTGGCCCTGGCATGAATGCTGACAGAATTTGCTCTGCTCCTCTCCTCCTCACAGTGGCCCTTCCCACTCCAGCTCTAGTGGGACCCCAGCAGCTCTCAGAGGCCACATCACGTGGCTCACCCTACTGAGAGCGTTCAGAAGGATGTCACCACACGGTTGCCATGTTTTAACAAACCTGAACCTAAGTTGCTCCTAGAATTGGGCTGTAAAAGATAATATAACACAGATACCTTAAGACAGTTTGAGCCCCTTTAAAGACAAAAGCAAAGCAAAGAAAAACAAAACCAACCGAAAAGAGTACGTTCAATTCCCAATGAATTAAATCAGGATATACACCAAGTATCCAGAGTACAGCAGAGCACCATTCTCCCCGCCAGCCCCTCATTCTCTGCTTCCAGATCCATTCTTTCACTGTTCTTAGCACCCAGCATCACAACCAGTATTCCAGCCCACATGGATAATTTGGATTAAAGCGGGGCTACAGTCTGTGCTAGTCCAGCACAGCCGAGAAGTGAAAAACACCAAGTGACTTTACAATAGCTCCAGTTTTTTCTTCTGTTTTTACTTTGTAAGCACATTTGGAAAGTAACCTTACAAATTTCTCTCTAGCATCTCTGGCCTCTTTGACAGTCTCTTGGTTTAGGGCAAACAGCAGGAATAAAGATGGTGGGTATATAAAAGAAGTCGGGAGTGAGATGATACTGCCGCCCAGACAGGAGGCTGCTGAAGCTATCCTCCCCCCTGAGGTGTAAATCTCACAGCAGCCCCTGGGCCCGGAGGGTCCTGATGTGTAGACATCCACCCCAGTTCCGTGAGTCAGGGCTCTCCGGACATGAAATGGGTTCAGCAGTTTTAAAGTCAAAACCAAGGAGCTGGAAATGGAACACGTGCATGATGCCAGAAATGAGTTGCTCTGAGAAGACACATTCACATGAGCAACATGTGGAGAGGCCCGCCGGGGCACACCCACAGGGTGGGCCTGGCAGACCCCACACAGGGCCAGGCATTCAGCTGGCTTAGGGTTCCGCTCAGCCTTAACACATGCTTTGCACACTAACCTGGACACGGCACAGAAAAGAGCCAAGACACCACAGGGCAGCAATGGGGTTGTACCTTTCTCAAAGAGCTTGGGAACTGGGTCTCCCGGCAGCTCTGACCGACCAGGGAGGGCAGCCATCCACTCCTCACCGGGCCCACCAAGTGCCACCACACGGACAGCAAGTCCTTTAGAGGACACGGACACTTGATGACCATGGTCACGGATAAGGGCAGACTTGGGGTTCATTTCTATACCCACTTGAGAAAGGACAGATGCTCCAGCGCTCGACAGCAAGCTGGCTGATTTAGCTTAGAACAATGGCTACCGATGCAGCCAATTTCAGAACATCTAAAAGGAAGGGAGGTGGTTGGGGCGGGGTATCAGGAAGGGTCCCTCTCTTTCAGATTGGTTTCTTTAATATATTAGGATAGGGCAGAAATTTGTTTTTACACACATAGAGCATCAAGGACTAATTGGTAGGGAATCCGTTTTCACAGGTCACTCACACAGAATAGCACTCTTCCATCTCGGCGGGGGGGGGAGGGGGAAGGGGTTTCAAGTTCTAAACTACAATCAGCCCTTCACGTAAGCCCCAGTAGTCCCCGTATTCAGCCAGATGGCAGTGTTTGTTGCACCAGGCCGAGTTCACAGTACAACATCAATAAATGGCCACTTGTAGAGGGACAGAGAGAAACCCAAGTACAAAACGTATTTCCACCTCCCCCTCCTTTCCTTTCCTAAAATGTTGCATTGTTACAATACCTATTGGGGCTTAATCTTATTTTGGAGATAAAAGGGGAGGGGAAAGGCAAGATAATATAATAATAGAAAATGCAGTTTCTTTGGGGGCAAGAGCGTACTTCTCTGAGGAGAAAGACGACAGGTGGGTTCTGTAAGCGCTGTCTCGCCTTTGGGGACTGACTGGACTTTTCCCAGTCCCAGGAAAACTCACCTTGGCAAAGGCTGCACATTGTCAATCAAAGACACTGTAACTCGGAGTTAAGATTTTTTTCTCTGTGAGTTGGCTAAGAGTCATGTAAGAAATATTTGTTCTAATTAGGTGATCCAAAAAGTCTTGCGTCATATAACGCATTTTAAGAAGGAAAGGGTATTCGTTAAAAATCCTTTATGGACAGGAAACGGCACATGTGTGTGTGGTTGCCAGTGTCCACACATCCCTCCCAGGCCCTGGGGGACGCACACTTGGGGACTCTGTTCCTTGTGCTGCTCGTCTCAGCGGCACCTGCGGTAGGCTGGGGGGATGGAGCGTGGGGACCAGCCTCTGCCTCTGCTCTTAATAAGCTGAGCCACCTAATTATGCAACCTTAATCCATGACTACAGGCCAGGGCTCAGCTGGTGGCCTGACAGCAAGAAGTGTCAGAAAAGAATGTGAACTCAACAATGTTGGAGGAGTGTTATTTCCAGAGAGAAAGCCCTCAGGACAAGGGAGAAGGAGTTGCTGCAGGCACTGCACTCCTCCACAGGGGAAGATGTTTCCCAAGCCATTCCCGAAGCCTGATGTGGCCTGATGTCTCGCCCAATAACATCCTGGAACGGACTTCTGGGCTACAGCTATCTTCAGACTCCATGCCAGAGGAATATTTATTACAAAAGAAAGCAGCATCTATTAGGGCCTGAACCAGTGGGGGCCCACTGGCACTCACTTCTCACACTGAACCACTTCATGTCCCCACCCCGGCTTCAAACAAGTAACTCAGTCTACGACCTAAGGCACTTTCCATACTTGCAGCCAATTAACACTGGCTTCCTGTGCGTCTCCCTGACACATACTTTGAGACAGTGGGAAAGAGTCAGCGAGTAGTCTCCAGGAAAACACCATACAGATGTTTGTCGTTATTCTTGAAGTCTGGTGGGGAAACCGAGAATTGTTTATTTGGTTTGAAGCCAGATTCTAGGAATGCATTTTCTGAAGGTTAAGGGCTAGGGGCTGGTTCTAGGATGGGGGGTCGGGGCGGGGGGGGGGGAAGGAATGACATAATTCATTCCTCATAGTAAAAACCTGAGGACTTCGGATCACAAAGCAATTTAGGATATTTTCATGGTCCATTTGTGAATTAAATTTGGTATACTAGACATTGATTTGTTTCAGAGAAAGGACATACCTGAAGCAAAAATCATAGACTATTTGGCTAAAATATTTTGTTTTGTTTTCTGTACTTTTTTTTGCCCGCCAAGATTGCAAATTAGGAATTGGTCCTCTATCTTGAGCCATTTATTGAGAATGAACAAATGAGCTTGGAAAAGACATGACCCAATTGAAGTTCAATACCTGACTTTGGTGTATGAGAATCATAAACTTGCTTACGGTCTATCTGGTCCGCAAACACTTCCCCATAAATCATCCAGTAGGGCATGTAGAAGATGTTCTTGGCCAGTTTCCACGACGGCTCCTCGTTGGGGAACAGGATGGCTTGCCTGGCAACCCCAAAGCTCATCAGGACCACCAGCATGATGATTACAAAGTACATCATGTCTATCATCTGGAAAAGCAAAGCGGGGGGGAAGAACAACGTGAGAGCCGTGAGTGAGCGTGTGTGGGTGAGCGTGTGTGGAGATGCTGGCACTGGTGGACACCTCTGAAGAAAGTTCACAGAAGGGAGCTGTGCCCAGATAAGAGGACATTGGTCTATTGAAGCTGATGTCTGTGAAACTTTATCAGGAACTCAAAACTCGCTTTTAAAAAACGAATGCAGAGTGAGTCTACTTCATTTTTCATGGCTATCTCCAAGATCTTGTCAAATCTAGACGAGGGAGTCTCGTCACACAAAAATTGGGCTCTCGAAGTGAATCCAGGCTGAGGGGCACATGTTCTCTTTCATCCTCTGTCTTCTTAGCCAAGTTGGAATGGGACAGTTGAGCTATTTCAAGAATGAGTGCAATGCTGTGATTTTCCTAAGTTCTAAAAGGTTTACAAGTTGCAAAGGTCAAAGAAATAATCGCTTGTAAACATGGCGAGGACAAACCAAATACGCATCCTACTCTGTTATTCTCGTGACTTGATCCCCGTTGCTGGGTATTCTACCACAAACCAGTCTCAGAGAGCCACTCTTGCTGTGCCTACTTCTCTGCAACAGAGCAATTCATTATGGAGACCATTTTTCTAAGACATCAGGACATTGTAGCCTAATGACTCATGCCTGTGCCTGTTACTGAACTGACAGATTTCATCTGGATATGTTTATAAAATCTTTCCAACTCCATTCTAATACTCTGCTCTGTTTTGTTTCTCTTTGTTCCCTTCTTGTTTATTTACATTGTGTGTGTGTGTGATTTGGAAATTATTTCCCACATATCAACTAAACAGATGAGGATGCAAAACTATTGATCTTGCCTGGACAGGACTCTCCACCCCCTTCTCTCAGAAATAGTTCCTACCTTTGTGGCCAGGCTAGGTTAATCATGGAAACTCATTCATTGGTATTAGCGACAGGAAGTAGGTTGGTGATGTGTGTGACACGACAACCAGAATCCTTTTTTGGTCTTTGTTTAGTGGAAGCTGGAAGAGAAAGCAGTTCCCTTTCTCTCACTCTGTGTAGTGCCATGAATTCAGAATGTCTGAGGTTGAGTGCCCCATGGTAAAAGCGATGAGAGTGAATGGCACAAAGTAGAGAGAGACAACCGTGGAGTGTCTGTTGGCTCCTGATCTGTTTCTTACGTCCGTCCGCAGGTCAGTACATCCCTTGTCTGCACAAGTGAGTTGGACAGTGGTGCCCTTTCTCTGCCATCAAGACCACCCCTTTCTCGGATATCATACTCACGAAAGAAAGGTCCAAACTCAAAGAAAGGTTAATGCCAACTTTATCAATGATAATGAAACCTTCAAATTAGGCTGAAAATGTTCTTGTTGGAATTCAAAATTGCAGTCTTTCTGGATGTCTTCGGACAATGGGGTTTCAGTATATTTTATGTCAGTTGAGCAATTTTCAAACCAACTCTAAAATCCATCTCACAAGTATTACATGGGCTTTGAAATCAGAAGGAATCTCTCAGAATTTGGCATTCACTCCTGTATTTTCATTATTCATGAAGAAACATACTAGTTATTCCCTCAGCAGGACAGTGGTCTCGGAGTTCTGTGAAGCGAGCAAGCAGACTGTGTTGCAAAAGCTTTATTTATTTTTAGGAAACACGAATCTCTTTTTATACTTTCTCTCTCCTTCTCCATTTTGTAAAATTCTTTATCATCTATTTACTAAGAATCCTGAAAGCGAAAAAGCACATATGGACCCGTCATGTTATGTTTACTGGAATTGATGAAAAGGTAAGTGGGAAAAGGAAGGTGTGCACGGGAAGATGTGAGAGCTAGAATGACCCAGACATCGCAGCCAGCAAATGCAAACTGTTCTCATTGAATTTCTCAGAACTGTTTTCATACACATTGATTGTGGTGCCTGTTCTCAGGATCAGAGCAATCCTAGGGAAAAAAGTTCTTCCCAAACACTCAGCTTTCTCTCCTACCAAGAAGCCTAAGCTTCCGTACAAGCACTGAACGCTCACAGCATCGGCAGTGAGAGGAGGGGCTGGCTGCACCTGCTTTCGGAGCTAAGTGTTAGCTGGTTCAGTATGAAGCTCCTGCTCTGTCCTTGTAAGCATCTTTCAGTTTGTTCTATCGGGCAGAGTATATTCTACAGTGGTGAAGCGCTGAAGCATGTGCTGTTAGGGGGTCAGAGTTCCTGAGCTTTTATCTTGGTCTTGTTAATAAAAACAGCTATACAGGAAAGAAAAACCAACCAGAAAAGTAAAGTTCACTACAAAAATGAAACTGAAATAAAATGAAGGCTTTCTTGACCATAACAAAGCACAAACAAAAAGTCAACCAACCAGCCAAATAAACAAAAACCACAGCTACGAAGCCATGGGCAAGTGATTTGTTATTTTAAAAATATTTTAACTGAGAATAATTATAACAACAATAATGCCTGTTTTATAAGAATTACATGAGATAATATGTAAAAATATTCAGCATGGTACATTCTCAGTGAGGCTCAGTCCTGACATGGTCCCTTGGTTAGTCTTGGTTTACTTGTTCACATGCAGATGTTAAACTTAAGACACATACGATACAGTATCTGGCACATCTTAAACACGTCAGCTAGTACGACTGCTGCTTTACTCCTCTGCATTATACATATGAGCTCAGCACTAGGCTTGCAAAATCCCACCAGGAAGTGGGCTGTGATGGCAAGGGGGCAGAATCCCACCAGGAAGTGGGCTGTGATGGCAAGGGGGCAGAATCCCACCAGGAAGTGGGCTGTGATGGCAAGGGGGCAGAATCCCACCAGGAAGTAGGCTGCGATGGCAAGGGGGCAGAATCCCACCAGGAAGTGGGCTGCGATGGCAAGGGGGCAGGATCCCACCGGGAAGTGGGCTGCGATGGCAAGGGGGCAGAATCCCACCAGGAAGTGGGCTGTGATGGCAAGGGGGCAGGATCCCACCAGGAAGTGGGCTGTGATGGCAAGGGGGCAGAATCCCACTGGGAAGTGGGCTGCGATGGCAAGGGGGCAGGGCTTGGTTTAGGTGACCCCGGACCCGCAGGTGCCCTGGACCACAGAAACAGGTTCTGCATACTGGGAAGCACAAATGCACTGGTTGCTTAAGCATTGCAAGGACTCAGGACCACTTTTAAAAGAGCCTTCTGAGCACCGTGTGCCCAGAACTCTGTCCAGCTGCCTGCCCTTAGGCCACAGGGCCTGGTGACTTCCCTCACTCCTCAGTACTGAATGAGGACTCAAAAGGCCTAAGGGACTGTCGATAAACACATCTGTGCACACGCTCCCAATGTGGTAGCCTACTTGGCCAAGTGATAATTTCTACAGGCATATTTCATTTCACTTCTCGATCTGTGGCTCTTATTGAAAAAAATATCTGAAAATCCCCATGAAAGAGTGGGAAAATCCCCCTGTATAATCATTGTCTACTTATTTTTGATAGATGGATGAAGCCATTCATCAGTCAGAAGGCAGAGAAAATACAGCACATCTCTCTGCTGTCCTGAGTAAGAGTTCATCCCAGCCAAGGCTGGGATAATCTTGTCTTGTGAAAAGGATCGGTGCGGATCTTAAAATCACCTTGCTGAAGTAGAGTGGCTTCAGTAACACCAAGAATTTCAATGTCACCAACACTTTTAAAAGTAGTGGATTTTGTTTGTATGGGTCTTGTCAGATTTTATTTGTTGATGTAGACAAGGTAGCAATCCGAGAACGTCCCATCTGATTATGTAATCATCTAATGCAATGGTTGTTAACATAGGGTGGTTTTGCCCCCATGGAACATGTGGCAATGTTTGGAGGCCTTTTTGCTGTCATTACCGTGTGTGTGTGTGTGTGTGTGCACGCGCATGTGCGTGCTCTTGCAGAGGTCATAGGTGGTGTTTATCTTCCTACGGTGCACAAAGAATTTCTCAGCCCTTAATAACAGTAGTGTCAAAGTTGGGAAAATTTGGCCTAATCCTGCTGTTGTTATAAATCTTTGTTTACACTGGCTCCACTCGATGAGTTGACAAAAACATGCGTTCTCCAGCAAACTCATCACCTCCACACATTTCACGTATAAACTGAGCAAGAGGAGGGGGTCCCATAAATCTTTCTTACGCCCCATCCACAGACTCAAAATTGAGACTTTCTGCTTTTAGACATAGGAATTTTCACGACAATCTCAAGTTCATGGTTAAAATACAAAGAAGATAATGCAACAGGTTTGTAATTGAGTAAGATGCATGTTTTTCCACCAAATTGAACCGGAGCTCAGTTTGGGGCAAGTAACTCAGTCTTGTGAAGTCACATCTTCCCTGTCAAAAATAGGATTGATGAGACTCTGCTCTAAACCATGCTGGGGCTACAAACACCACCGGAAGGCCCAGGAACACAGCACAAGGTCTATGAGTAAGCCTTCTCTTTCCTGCTGTACTTTACAAAACATAACGTGAATTTAATGATAAGGGCTAGAATTTGTCAAGTTTCAAACTATGAGCCAGACACTGCTGGCCATTTAATAAGCTGATCCTAACCATCACAACAACTATTTTAAATACATATGAATTGTTTACAGCTGTTTTAGAAATGAGTAAACTGAGTCTCAGGAGGTTAAGGAAAGTTCTCATTCTTATCCCTCATTCTGTGCAAAATCTTTGTTGAATGTGTTTATCTGAGCTTTCACAGGATGTGTCCTAGGAAGCTTTTCTGCAGTAGAATCACACTCACCCAGCCATACAAATGTCCAATAAACTCTGGACTGACAATGACGTGCCTGGGAAAGCTCTGACCAATTGCTGGATGCTGGCTTCTACAGCCCATACAATGATACAATGGAAGCGAAGGGAAGGTTTTATTATTATCATTTTTAAACAAAGAAGCTTTCCATTAAAAGGTGTTTGCCATGGTAGAATGGAAGTACTTAGCTTTTCCACACAATGTCCTAAGAAGGTTGAATAGGGGACGCTCTTAGAACTCATGAAAACACTCAGTGTCTCGTCTGTTTCTTCTGGAGTGAGTCTGGAGAGGGAGCTGGCTCATTTGTGTTTCTGGATCCGCGCTGACACTGTCCTCAGAGGGCTTTGTCCTTTACGGAAACACTCTGGAAGCTAGCGTGTGGTAAAGGAGCACCGGAAGGAATCTCGGGCCATTTCTGGGGAAACATATTATCTTTCCCTGTGGATTCTTTTTTCGAACAATGAAGTAAGTAGGAGTGCCATTCTGGATCCTAGGAGACATCTTCTCGCAGCCATGTAACAAAACAATGATGTGTGGCAGAACATGACGTTCGACTCAAACTCCGCCTAACGCGCCTCGGCTCAGTTGAGCTGAAATTACCTACTTTTCTTCCTTTTGTGTGGGGAAAAGCATTTTTCTAGCATGTCATTTTCTTTTTAAAAGATCTTTTAAAAGTCTTTAAAATCTGTTAACATTGTGTCTGAAGACCCCTGTCTCGGTGAGACCCTCCTGAAACGTCCCCTCTGGGAAGCGCCCTCTCCCTACCCTGCTGCACACACAGCTCGCAGCATTCTCACACTGCCTGGCCGGCTCTTCCTCCCAGCTCCAGCATCACAGAGAGAGCATCTGCGTGCACTCTGCGTTCAACGTCTCGTCAGTGCTTGGCAAGACATGACTGATCTTTATCTTTGTCAGTAAGTGAATGCGTAACTGGTGATTAAAATTCCCAGTTTTTATAAACAGAAACACTCTAAGGGCATTTAAAACATCCCTGGACCACTTCCAGTGGATTCTAACAGTGGTCTCTTTTGTTAGGCCCCCCTCTTCCTGTAAGAACTTGTACAATGGAAACACTGGACCCCACTTACCATCTTTCCGATCATCATAACATAGGGGCCCAAATACTTGTTCACGCCGAAGATGTCTAGCAAGCGGATGTACCAATAGATGATGTTCACGCAGTAGATGACCCTGCCGTCACTCCTGAAGGGCTGGTCCTGGAGGCGGAGGATCATTCCAATGGAAAACAGAAGGATGGCGATGAGATCTGTGACATTCCAGTATTCCTGCAGCCACACCTTCACTTTCTGCAACAGCTTCCCTGGCTCTGACATCAGAATCTGCAAGGCAAGAGAGAGACTGTAGGGAGGTCTCATTCCTGCAGACACCTTCAGCCCAGCCGGGAAGCACTTGTCAGGCACCGGCAGCGGCTTGCTTTGCTGACTCCGTACTTGAACACCAGCAGGATGCGTGACTGACTTAAGCCTAGGTGGTTCAGGCGCAGCCCTGCAGAGGCAGGCATAAGCACCAAGTGTCATCCTGTGGATTGCCTTTCAATTCTGAAACAAACATCAAAGTTTCTGTTATGAAACTATGAATTTCCGTGTGGGAGAGCCAGAAGAAGCCCCTGGCTCCTGGCTTTGGACTGACTCAGCTCTGGCATTGTGGCCACTTGGGACTGAACCAGCGGAGGAAGAGCTCTCTCCTTCACTCTGTGAATCCTTCCAATAAAAATAAACACACATCTTTTTAAAGAAGCAGCTGAAGAGCGCTGCCCTCGCAGTGCACCTCTTGGGCCAGCTCTCAGCCACCTGTGAGCAGGGTGGGCGCACATGCTGGAGCCGGAAGGCTGTGAGGGCAGTTAAAACCAGCTCAGCTTTCAGAGACACAGCAGAGGGCTGGAGCGCTCTGAGCCCGCTCCCAGACGGTAAAGTGGGCCTGTTGTCACAGCTGTGCCACTGGTCTCAGTTGTGGATTGGGCAGGAGATGCAGCTGAACCTATCCACCCAGGGCCTGCAGTACAGGGAGTATGTGGGGAGGGGGCTTCCTGTGGTGGGCACAGGCAGAAATGAGAGCTGGGAGAGGGAGGGCAGCTGGGGAGGCCACCAAGCTGCCTTTTTGTGTATCTGGAGCCCTCCCACCTTTCCAGGCTCTTGGGGGTGAGTTCCAGAGGGTCCATGTACTGACTGCAGGAGTCCCCGCTCCCTTGCTGGATGAGCTGTTCAGGGCAGGGCCGGGGGCAGTGGGGCTGCCCTCCTGGGGCTAAGGCGTCCACCACAGCCCTGTCCCCAGTGTCAGGAGCCTCTTCCGCTGACCCTTTGCTAGCCTGGGCCTGGGAAGCCCCGGCCTGCCCGCTGCTAAGGGCTGCCTCCCAGCACGGGCTAGCCAGGCTTTGAGCATCCTGGCAGGCGGCCTCATTGGCAGGCCCGAGCAGAACAGTCTGTGGAGGGCAGCCTGCACCCTGCTTTCTTCCAACCCGGTCCCTGGAGAGACTCCATTCTTTCCCTTCTCTGCTCTTCGTGGAGGCGGAACATGTGCTGGGTGTTCTATCACAGGCCTCCAGCTGGCCCAGCACTGCCACAGGGCCACTGGCTCGCTCACAGGAGCGGGCCTCGGTTCCCAGAGGCAACAAAGACCGAACCAGATTTATTACTGGGCTTCAGTTTACGAGCAGGAAACCCACAGCACTGGTCAACAAGTGGCAGACAGGATGAATGGGGAGGACTGAAGGGAGACAGTGTGTGGGAAGAAGAGAAGGCATCCTATTGCTTGTTGAAATCCGGCCCTGCTGCAATGGGCCTAGAGCGCTCACTCCTCAGTCTCCAGGCCGAGGAGATGCTTAGCATCGGCCCCCAAGCCCCCAAACAAACAGTACCGTTAGTCAGAAGGGATCTCAAACTCCAACTCAACTGCACCTAGCGGACACTGCCCCTTTTCTTCCGGTGGAGAACATTCTAGAGCTACACCCCACGAAGGCAAGCACGGCGAAGTCCAGGGTAATCTGATGGGGTATGTGCAGGATCGCCCCACCATCCCACACCCCAGCCTCCACCCCTGCACCACCCTGGTGCCGTGGATCTTCCCACTCTGTCCGGAGAGCACTGCGATTGTTCCTGGGCTTGGCAGCGTGCAGCCGACGTGCCAGGGAGCATTTGTTCCCCCCAGAGAAAGCCTCCGCCTCTGCCTGCAGTTTGGGGGGGGCGATGCGGAGTTGCTGCTGCCCCCTGCTCCCGATGCCCTCCTGGCTTTCTGCAGGAAAGGCAAAGGGTTGCGCGGGCTTGCAGAGCCCTCTGGTGGACGTGGGCTGGATCGCAGCCAATGTAGTGGCTCTCAATGCTTCCTCCTCTCCCCCCAACCTCCGTTTTTAATCGAATTCGAGACAATGGTTTTAGAGCAGTTTTCGGTCCGGCAGCGTTTTGAGGACAGTGCCGACATCGCCCATGCACTCCCTGCTCTGATGTTTTCTGCATCGCTGGTCCCATGACGGGTGTTTCTGACCAGGTGGCGCAGGCATCGTCGCTGAACCCACACCAACATTTTGCCACCCAGGGCCCACGTTGCATCTGAGGGTTCACGCTCAGCGTTGTCTATTCCATAGGTTTGCACAAGTGTGTGGTGACCTGTGCCCGCTCGCATCATCTTACACAACATTTTCACTGCCTGAAAGCCCTCTGCGTGCTGTCCTTCATCATCCCCAATCCTAACCCCTGTAACCACCGATCTTCTCGCCGTCTCCATAGCCGGATTTTTCTGGCATGTACTATGGAGTCTTAGAGCACACGGCCATTTCACACTGGCTTCCGAGACAAACAACGGCAACGAGGCTTTCCATGTCTTCCCATGGTAGCTCGTCTACTTACAGTAGTATTCTGTGGTCTCGTGTCCTATGGGACTGGACCTTGGGTGGCTCTGAGTGGGTCTCGGAATGGGCAGGAGGGAAGTGGGAAGGACTGGATGTGGGTTCGCTCATGTGTGACACCGGGGGCTACTTGATAAATGTCGGAGGAAAATAAAACGGGATGAACGGGAACTACAGGTGTTGGCTGGCTGTTGAGAGACCCAGAGTTGGAACAGGCATTGTTGGTGGGGCAGACGAAAGCCACATGCACACCGTGTTGAAGGCGCTGGGTGGCCTCCTAGGGCAGGAGGTGACATGACCAGGACATAGACGGTCCTCAGCACTCGCCCGTTGGCGGCTCCGTCAAAGGCCTCCCTGCGTCTGCCAGAGAGGGGTCAGCAGCCCCTCGAGCAGCGCCGGAGAGAAGGACTTCTGGCTTACTCGGGATGCCCAGCGTCCCACGCCCCATCCTGCCCTTCATCCCCAGATGTGACCGAGCAGCGTTTCCCCCAAGTTTCCTTTCACAAAAGCTCTTACCTCTCTCATCTTCTCTATTCCCAGGGTGAAAATGTAGGAGATGACGATCCATTCCTGTGTGGAAGGCCAGCGCTCCATCTTCACCAACACGATGTAGTTGAACAGCATCAGGTACCCAATGTAAGCCAGCTGCAAGGAAACATAGTCCATGCTCTGGCTGCTGCAGCCCGGCAGCCCTGGCCTGGGAGGGCTGCGGCCACACGGGCAGGACAGGACAAGGGCAGCTACAGACATGCGTGGAGCCTATTAGAAGACATTATAAAGACTGCAATATTGAGAATCACTAAGATGCAGCCTCTCCTTTGGCCCCTCCTAGGTCCCTGCGTGCTGCTGCTTTGTGCCCAAGTGTTGTGATGCAGGATTTAATTTCACAATTCCCAGTTTTCTTGTGGCTTCCTGGCGCAAAGGGGAACCTCGTGTCAGGGGATGCTCTCACTTGAGCTGATGTAGCTCAGTGGATTTTTTTTTGCAGATTGGATGTGTGTGGGAAGGCTGGGAAGACACGCTTGCTACCTGGGAATTGTCCAGTCCTGCACAAAAAAGTCCAGTGGTCATCTGAAAGCCATGTTTCTGTCCTCCTCTGAGTCCATGTCCTCTTGTTTCGTTCCCAACTTGAAGTGTGTGGCTTGGCAGGGCCCTGGGAGGTGCGTTCCTGTTGTCCCCGGCACCACCTACCCAGATTAGAATGTTCCCCTCTGCTTTGGAACAGAACAAAGAGACAGAGACACTGACAGAAAGGACTGGATGTGCGTGGCCTGCATTGGGATAGGACTGGATGTGCGTGGTCCGGTGTGGCCTGCAGTGGGATTTCATCTGTGGTATCTTGGAGTGTGCTTGCTGACTGGCTAACGTCTGGGAGAAACACCTTGGGGCTCAGTCTGGTGCCTGTTGCTGGGAGATGGGATTGAGCAGGCTGTAGGGAATCTGCTGGGGAATTGGAAGTGGTGCATCAAGCCGCCAGTCCTGGGGACTCAGGAGCCGAGGACAGCGCTCAGAGGAAGCTTATTTGCACAGTCTATACTCTAAGGAGTCAGAGCAGGCAGAGCTCTTCCACAAGGGTGGAAGGTTCTGAAAGCTTCTGCAGACGCTGTGTGACCTTGGCAGGCAGGGAACCTGGCTGCTTGCTCTGGTGATGGGTGTCCATTCATTCATCCTTCATCTCTCTGACCCTCCCTGCTGCATTTTTTCTCTTCCCCCCTCTCTCCCTTCACCTTTATTTTTTTTGTGAGTGATTCAGTGATTGTTAACATCAGTCAATGTTATTTCTGAGATCCTATTTGCATACACATTTGCATACAACCATGCCATAGTTCCATCGTCTCGTAAAGGGTAAAATCCATGAGTTAAGTGAGATCCTGGATCATGTCCACTCCCACTGAGACCCTGACACGCAGACCTCAGGTAGGCACTGATGGTGGGTAGGACTGCCTAGCTGGTCGCCCTCTCCACCCGAATGGTTTCCCTTGCACACTCCCTGGCTACTGTCACTTTAATCTATGTCTAGCTTCTTCTTCTTCTCTGCCTTCAAGGTCATGAGCAAAACAAGATCACGTAGGGCATGGTTTAAAAGTCGGTTCAGGGGTTGGTGCGGTCATGCAGTTGGTTAGGCTACCACTTGAAAAGCCAGAATCTTACATGGGTGCCAGCTGAGGTCCTGGCTGCTCCGCTTCTGATGTAGCTCCCTGTTGATGCACCTGGGAGAGCTACAGGAGATGACTCAAATGCCCGAGCCCCTGCCACTCACCTGAGACCCTGACCTGACCGGCCTGCTCCATCCCTGGTGGTTGTGGCCTTTAGGGAGTGACCCGTGCATGCAAGATCTCTCGCCTCTCTCTGCATTCTCTGTAACTCTGCCTTTCAAATCAAATAAAATTAATTCAAAATGTGACTTCTTTTTACTTTAATCCAATTTATTTATATCTGAGAGGCAGGGTGACAGAAAAAGGGAAGGAGTGGCGTGGGTCAGGGAGGGTGGATATATTCCATCCACTGATTCATTCTACAGATGACTGCTCTAGCCAGGACTGTGCTGGGACTCCCTCCAGGTCTCGCCTGTGAGTGACATGGGCCCAAGCACCTGGATCAGCTTCAGCTACCTCACAGATTCATTGGAGGGGAGCTGGATCAGAAGCAGGATAGCTGGGACTTGAACTGATGGGTGCTGTGTAATGGGCTGTGGACGTCCCAAGTGGCAGCTTAATGTGCTATGTCACAGCATTCACTTGCAGATGAAGTGAATGTTAACTTCCCTGGTCTTCATCACGTGACCCAGTTCATTGCAAAAACCCCTCTCGAGCATCCTCTTCTCATCACCGGTAGGGTCAGTTCCTCTGTGTGTCCGTGTGTGACTCCTTGAATCCAACTCTATCCTCTGCATACAGGCCTCGTCTAGTTGAGGGAAGGGAGGTGGCACAGAAGTCAGCGAATCGTGGGTTTAGACCCGGCTCAGGTGCGTGCCAGCCAAGTGGAGCAGGGCCTGTGGAAGGATATCCTATGTATTTGCGTATCATCTTCCTACCTACCAACCACCCTGTCAGCGATCAGTTGCGTATCTATCATCTGTTAACCTGTCATCCATCCATCAGCCAGTGACCCCACCCACACAGCGTCTACCTAGTGTCCAGCACTGCAGCTACATATCTGTGTGTATCCACAATCTGTGGCCCATTTCTCTCTCTCTCTCTCTCTCTCTATCATCACATAGCTCTTCTAACACACTGGGGAGGCCCAAGGAACACTGGCTAATAACCATTCACCTCTTTGGGTTTTTTCAAAATGTCCCTGTCCCCTCTTGTTTCCCATTGATGCCCCATGGACCATTGATATTTCTCTTTATCCTGGTTATCGTTTTGGCTTCCACCACTTTTACCCATTTTAGCTCCTGTCCTTGAAAATCAGTTACTCTACAATGAACTTTTCCCATAGTCAAGCTACAATTCCCAAAATATAGATTTCTGGAACTAGGGCAGTAAGTGTTTAAACAGCACCACGGAGAACTGGCTGTTGTCCTTGAAGTGACCCATATTAGCATTCATGCAGCCTTAGAGCACATTATCCAAGCATGACATACGTTGTTTATGTGTGTGGGCACACAGCGTTACTTCAAATATTTCATGGAGAAACAGAATTAAGAGCTTATCTCAATGAAAAAGAATCTGAGATCCATGCCTGGTGTTTTTCATAACAGTTTCCATGAAGTTGGGAAGATTTCATGTGTGTATAAAGTGTGAATGTATTCCAAAAACTTTAACAGGCTGCATGTAGAATGTCAAAACTTTTCAACAGAACTACAACCTTGATTCTTATTTAAATCAGTGGGCATTCTAGAAGAGTCTATATTGTTATTTGATTATATGTTGTTTTTTTCCATTAGCCAAGATGCATGTTTCCTAAACTATCAGATACAAGGACCAAAGCCTGCAGCAGTTTGCTGTGGACCCCTGCTGGGGTCATGCTACTGCTGACTTTTCACAGGCCTTCTGTGTCCTAGAGAGAGGAGGGACAGATGGTCTTGCAGGGAGAAGGGTCTCTGTCACCCTGTGGAGACCCAGGGTGCACACTGTGTCCTCTGACCTGGGGCTTTGCACACCTTGAGTCTGACTCCCTTCCAGCTGGCTGCTTGAAAACAGCTCTTGATACAAGCAGGGCCTGGAAGCCGGTTGGAACAGAGGAAAATCCATCTTGTTCCCTGGAAAACTTGTTCAGACGAGGATCTGAGGTTCTGGGAAGTGGGGGACTTGTCCTGTCTTTTGGATTCTTGGGAGAAAAAGGGTTGGATACCAGTGTCAGAAATACAAAGAATGAGACCCAGATGGGGCCTTCCTCCTAGAGCCGACGTTCGTTGTGAATCACACCTCACCTCCATTCACGTCCTGGATACCTGTGCCTTGTGGTTGCTCGTGGGGATCCCTGAGGTTCATTTAACCCTCTGCAAACCACAGAGGCAGAGCAGTGGGTGCCGAGCTTCCCTAACCGTTAGACTCATCTTGGAGTTTATTCAAGCACAAAGCCTCCTCAGGCCACTTTCTGGTGATCGGATGGCATGACTCTGTGATTGGGCCAGGAATTTTCACTACTAGCACAACTCCTTATCATCCTGGAAGTATCACAAATATAGGGCTTAAAATTGAACGCTCTGTCTGGGGTGATGGTTCTCCACCCTGGCTGCTCATTGCAGTCACCTGGGAGCTCCGATAGTGCCTGGCACCACGGAGGGCACACCAAGGACCAGTGAATCTCTAGGAGGGTGTGCAGTGCCCGGTGTGCTTCTTCAGGTCGCTAGCTGGTTGCGATGCTTGGTCCAGGCTGAGAATGAGTGACCACAGATGGGAGTCATGCTCTAAGGGCTATCTTGAGCTACTCATTGCCTCAGATGAACAAACGGGACGACCCTGTTACTGCGCACTCAGAGGACTTGAGGAATAAGAAAGGTGAACGCCATGTCATACAAGTGATGGACCTGAGGCTCTGACCTCTGGTTTCATTGCACTGGGGATTGCAAACGTACTCTGCCAAGGGTTCCACTTGATTTTTAAGGCTTCATGAGCCAGATGGTCCCTGTTGCTGTGGATCAGCCCTACTGTAGTGCAGGAAAGCAAGCAGCCGGACCATGGGGGAACAAATGAGTTTGGCTGTGAGCCAACAAAACTTTATTTATGGACACTGAAATTTGAATTTTATGTAACTTTCATGTGTCATAAAATATACTTAAATATTTTAAAATCTCAATCCCTTAAAAAATGTAAGAACCATTCTTAGTTTGTAGGCTACAGTAACAAGCAGTGGGATGTAGTTTGCTAAGACCTATTCTAGGTTGAGACAGTTAAGGCCTCATGGCCGAGGGGAGGGCAGATGTGGGAGCAAACAGCATCACACTTGTTATCCTGACAAACCTGTTCACATTAGGGAGGAGATTGCCTCCAATATTGCAGAGGCTCAATAAGTGATATGATTATTTGATGATTATGTGATGGATGGATGACTTTGACACTGATGATCTGTGCAGCGTGGCCTGGGAAAGCAGCTCTGTCTACACCAGGTTACATGTCCAGTCACTGGTCTGCATGCTTTACACACTTTAGCACATCTAATCTTCACTGAGCTCTGAAAAGCAGGTACTGCTATTACCCTATTTGAGGGGACATGATGGAAGAATGACTGGCTTGAGGGCACACAGTCCTGAGGCACGGAGGGGGCCTGTCCCAGGCTGCCTGCCTCCCAAGTCTGTGCTGGCTGCCGCCAAGAGGTTTTCTGTGAAGTAAATCTAATAGAGATCTCTATAAAATATGGGAAGAGAGGCGATTTCTGCATCCTCTGTTATTTTGGGGAGGAGAACTATTTTTTTTTCTTTTAGCATTGATAAATGTTAGTTGCATTTCACTGAAAAAAAAAAAAACTAATCATTTGAAAATATCCCCTCTTCTTGCAAGACCACACTTTGTTATGGTTGCTGTCTGTTATTAAAATCTATTTCAAAATTGGAAAATAGTACAGCTTAGGATGGCATTTCAGTACACGTATGTAGTTATATTTTGTATCATGTGATAATGCCTATAGAAGTAGTTCCCAACGGGGGGATCTTATTCCACATGGGGACACTTGGCAGTGTCAGGGACAATCTGCTTGCTGTACTTGCAGCGTAGGGGATCTGGTGGTGACAGGTTGAATGTGGCACTTGCGAATGACAGCCATGTGCCAAGACTTGTTCAGTCCGTGGTGCAGAAGTTGAGATTTTGCAGCCAGTGTTAAGTGTTGGCCTAGAGAAGCACACAGTAAGGCTGTGTGCAGCTGTTTCAAGATGGGCAGTAACTGCACATACACTCTACCCATCTAGGGATGTCACCTCTGCACCCTCCTCACTCACGGCTCTCAGAGCCATGGCCGACCTGCTGCTCATCCATCTAAACAGGGAAGTGCTTTGAAAAGGGGCATCTACTTTCCTGCTAGGACACACCCATCTTCATCTCACCTCTTTGTTCGGTTAGTTCTCACTTTGAGCATGTCCTTTATTGGCTGTGAAGAGGAGAAACACAGCCTGTGAGAGCTGCTTATCAAGCTCCACAGATCTTGGCAAAACTAGTGAAGAAACAAGGCCATGGAGTCCTGACTCCCACGCGCGGAGGCTGTGACTCAGAGATAACCACACAGATGCGTGGCAAGTGGACATGGGTGCCTTGGGGCCATCAACCAGAAAGGGAGAAGGGAAGCTTACAGTGTAGAACCAGAACTTGACGATGGGCGCGTTGTAGAATTCGTAGATTTTTCTGCCCAGGGGAATGAGGCGGTGCCTGCTCTGGACATCCTCTTCATCCTTCTTCCTGGAGGACTCCCCGTTGCTGCGTCCCAGCATGGCCTGCACAGAAGAGAAGGGCTCTGGGCAGCATGTGGTTCAATACACCCATTTCACAGTTGAGGATGCTCATAGAACTTCAGACACACAGGCCTCCAGTGATGTGCAAGCTGTATCCTTCCCAGGTGCATATCTGCGGTATACTCACGTGCCGTGGATATGTCCTCTCTCTGAGAGGGAAGGTGCTGGAATATTTCTTAACAATTCTCATTGACCATGGGATGTCTGGAAGATGTAGGTAATGAGGTCCCAGGATGAGAGAAGTCTTTAAAACCTCCTCTCCCCCACTCTCCCTCTGTCTCTGCATCTGCAGACTCTGTAGCCTTGTTGGGCCAGGGCCAGCTACTCAGTCTTAGCTCCCTTATGTGCATCTGGTAGACCTAAATTCCTGCTGGTATCAGTTTTCTGACAACTCCTGGGTTCTCTACCTTCCTCTGTCAACGAGATAGGACTAGGACAAGGATGCTGTAGGTAGGCCTGTCCTCCTCTCTGGATGTTGGTGATTCCCTGGGGTTACTCCCTTCCCGGCTATGACAGCAGCCCTGGCAACCACTCTGACGATCTGAGAAGACAGAATTGAGAAAGTCTACCTCTGTCCAGGTAGTGAGTGACAGGATGATTCCAGGATGGCGAAGAGTTCCAGGCTTTGGGGCACGTGGATGGAGCACTGAGTCCCATTTCACAGACTGACACTCTGAGACACTTGGGAAAAGTTTGGTTTCCTGTTTTGTTTGTTTTAAACTTCTCTGAGATTTAGTTTCTTAAGCTGTAAACTGGGGGTTAGTAAGAGCCCTGGCTGTGTAGGGTTGGTCTACAAGTCAGTTAACATCGGGAACTCAGTAACTACTTGAAAAATGCACACATTAACTCACCTTTAAAGTGAACTAAGAACTTCTCTGATATACTCCTGAGTGAAATTATTTAGTTAAGGTCTCTCACAAGTATATTTTTAAGAGCCTATAACAGCGTAGTTTCTGGGTTTCAATTTTTTGATATTATTTATGGCAAAGTTCCACAGTGTTCATGAAATGGTATATTCATTCAATGTGAGATTAGGGTAGGATATACCTGCTCAGGTATAACTGAGGATTTGGGACAAGAGTATGGGAAACAGGAGTTTAAAGTTCAGAAATCTAAGTATAGATAGCATTTATGTTTGTCTTGAAGTTGAGACTGGGACATAAAGAGACTAGGGCAACCATTGGGGAATTCAGGTTTCAATCCACCTTAACCTAAAATATAGAAATACTAGTTTTGACCATTTGGATCACTGCTTCAGTAACCACTGTGCAGGAATATGTAGCACTCGTAAATGATTTAGCAATAGGATTATGGGGCTCTGATAGTGAACAGGTAAGAGTTCACCCTAAGGCCCAGGTGAGCATTTACGTTGATAGACACAGCACACGAGAGAGCAACCAGCTCTATCAGGTCGGTAACTCATCTTCAGAAACTGTCACATGACTTTTTCCTTCTGCAATTTATAATGTTTTAACTGAATTACCCTGCTTTTGGTCTCTGTGTTTATCTTCTTGACAATACAATGCTATCTGGTGGCACAGAGCGATGGGAACAAAGGCATCTTGGAGAGGGGCCTTTTGGGGTAACCTTGAGGGGTGCTGATTTTTTCCCAGGAGAGTTGGTGCTGTACACACACTGGGACTTCATCAGACGAAGCACAGTGTGGAGATGTTTATCCAGGAACACATCACCACGGCTTCTTTGCCTTTATGATTCAGACATATTCCAGAAGGTCTGCATTTGTGGCAGGTCTGTCTTCTCATGAATAGAAGAAAAGCATTTTGGACATGTCATTAATTCTAACCTAAGCAGCATAACTTGCTGATTTTGTTTACTTTTTTCTTTATGACCAAACATTTTCTTTGACTCTCCTTAGATCACAATTCAGCATGGTCCAGATTAAAACCATACAGTCTAGATTGGGGAATATTCGCTGTCCGGACCCAGATGTCATGAAAATGGAATGAGTGGAGGCTGATATTTTTGTGTACAGTTTTGGAAGGACCAACGGAAAGTGTCCCACTCTGAGCTTAACACAGAAGCTCAAATAGCAGGCTCTGAAAGCAGTGGCAGTACCAACAGGCTGCGCCAGAGCCCTCGGGGGCAAGCCACAGACCTGCAACCAGGCAGGGATGCAATTTGCCATCAGTGTCAAAGGACTGCCATGTGAGAGACAATTACCCCACCTTGAGCTTGCCAGTCCCCAGGCCCTGCCTCGCCCTCCCTCTTGTTCGTGCTGGTTCATGCAGGAAAGCTGTTTCCCCAGGCTCTGTTTTGATGCTCACCCAACAATGCTAGCATCTGGCTGCTGGTAAGCAGGCTTTGCCCTCAGTCTAGACCTGCAGCTTGTCTTGTGGCCTGCTGACGGGGGCAGCTTCTCAGAGCTCTGCATGAGCAGGAAAGCTCCCTTTCTTCCCTGAGACTAGAGAGACAATGTGGGCTCAGCATCACACCACACTTGACCAGCAGGCCTGGGCCTCACTTTCTTGGTTTCTGTCTGTTGGCGTGGCAGACCCAATCAGTTGAGTACCTACCTGAAGGGGGTAGAAAATGGGAGGAGATTCCGTTCCCCATCATCTAGTGGCTGAACACATGGACAGAGGGGTCGATAGCTCTGGGTTGTACCCCCAGTTTTGGAGCCAATTTCCTGGGTAAAGCTGGACATTAAGCTGATTCCCAGCTTCCTTGTATAGAAAACGGGGGTAGTAATAGTGCCTAACTCATGCAACTTTGGTGAGGATTCATGGGGAAGTGTCCATGGGTCATTTAGTGCTGTTAGAACAATACTAGTGGCTGTTTTTCATGGATGGCAGTGTGCCACCTGTTGGTCTGACTAGTTCTCCTTGTTCCCTTTTGAAACTACGCTGTCCCCTGTGCTGGCGATAGGCTGATTCTCATGTGCAAGGTTATGGGATTCTACAGCTAGTTGCTAGGGGTCAGAATCCTGGCTCCAGAATACTCTTGCTTTTGCTGACATGCTTGAGAAAGATTTGGTATCTTTCCTACCCACGTTTCTGCTAACAAAGCATGGGTTCAGCGGCCAAATCTTAGGGAAGGCAATCTTTGATCCTATCGCAGAAATAAGTAGACTGTTCCAGAAAGTGTGGTAAGGCAATAAAAAGCTGGTGTTTCATTAATTGAGCCAGGGACTGTGCATTGCAAATACCAGTTTAGGATGCTCCTTTTGGTGGGAAAGATTTCCTACCTAAAGGAAAAAGATTTCACATGATGGCCCCGCCAGGACAGTCATGCAAAGGCCTGCAGTCACCCAAGCAAAATCAATGTTTATTCCTTCTCTTTATAGCTTCTGGTCATTAAAGCCACTGGTCACTGAGCAGAATGGTAGGGCGCCATGAAACCTATCAAGAAAGTCCTTGAGGATTGTGGCTCGATGGCTTCTAAGCCATGAAGTTTGTTTGTCCCTTTAAGACCGTGTGACATTTTTAGTCCCTGGATACAAGCTGGCAGCAGTCACACTGCTTAGGGAGGGCCTGTGGGAAGCCTCCCAGGCCCAGCTGCCCCATTCTCTCTGAAGAACAAAGCATTCATGTCCTATAATTACATGAGGGAGAGCTAATAAAAGCCTTCCATACAAAACCCCAAATTGAATTAGTGCTTTGTGTTCCTGACCCTGAAGACAGACACAGGCGTAGCCTCTGATGGGCAGAGGAATTTCAGCTCAGCGAGGCTGGCTGCACCTCAACCCTGGATTCCCTCTCTGTGCGGGTGTGCAAAGACTGCTGCGTGGCCTGTTGGATGATGGAGTTTTTGTGTTTTGAAAGTGTAGGGTGCCTTGCTTTGGGATTTCACTGGTTTGTGCTAAACCACTGGCTGGATTAAAACTTGTGCAATACAGAGACACTTATAATTTCCTGGTCTTCACACATAATGAAAGCCATTTCATTAGGAAGCCTGTTGGGAAGCTGGGGAACAGCTGCCTGATATCGGGGCACCTGCGGCAGCTGCAGCCGCACCCACAGGACAGGTGGCTTCAGGGCTTCTCCCTGGCGTTTCCTTACTGTCAGTTCCATGTCCTCTTCGTCCTTATCCTTCGTGGGCTTCTCGGGTTCCTCCGGCTCCTTCTCCTGCAGGTGGATTTCCTGAGCCTGGGTCATATAAGGCATGTCGTCTTTGTTCTTGAACTCCAAGCTGAGAATTGAAGGAGGAAGTAGAATTCCCAGAATTACCTAAAGTAATAATAATGATAATAATAATAATCACATTCAAAGGATTAAGATTAGGGTGGTTGCTTAGAAATCAGGCGTGTGTGTGTGTGTGTACCTGCACAGGGATCTGGATGTCTGAGTGGCTAAGCACACTGCTGTTAGAAGGGCCCTTTCATCCATATAGAACATGTTTTTGTAGTGGTGCCCCGTCCAATTCTTGGCAAAGCAAGCCATTTTGCTCAAATACATCCTATTCAATTAACAACCACTTGGCAAGGGGGAAACTGAGGGGGAAGAGCGACCTCATCTAAGACAAAGCAGGAAAGAATTGAGGTTTCCATTTCGCCATTAGACAGAACTTGACTGTGAAGTCAGTGCAAATACTGCATTTATTTGCCAACTTGTCAGGTGGAGTTGATTATGTCTTTCCTATTTGTAAAGGAAAAAAATGCTGTCCTAAAATACCTCAAGAAAGTTTGTGTGGGTAAAAAAAAAAAATCCTTATTTATTTCAGAGCGTTCCCCTTGCCTTGGCTAGGAATACAAGTACACATCTGTGCACACACAGCTGAATCCATACACCCCAGTGGGCTAGGCTATTCATTGAGAGCATTTCCTGGCAAGAATGCCCCAGAAAAGGCCTGTCCTGTATTTCCCTCCATGTCAACATCGTGTGCATCTGTCTCTGTAAGGGTTCTAGACATGTGGGCCTTTCTCCTGAAAGTGCTAGCCGCTTCTCACCTGTCCACCCTGTTAGAGAACACATCCATTTCTCAATGGCACTACTGCCTCCAACCTGTGTCCTGCAAGTCTTCTCCCACATATGCTCTCAGCCCTGCAGCGGTGCTGGGACACAGGCTCATGAAGATGGTCTTCACTGAGGAAACTTAGATCATAGGAGGGTCTGTGAGAAACCCTTAAGGCTTAGTCAGGCTGTTAAGCAATGAGGCAGGGACAGTTCACACTGAAATACCACAGGAACTCAGAGGCAGCCAAAGGGCCACGGAGGATCCTGAATCCTGCAGGCCTGGGAAGGTTCAGGTGTCTGGCTGGCAGCCTGCAGGAGACACAACACCTTGTCCTCGGAGTGCCAAAGCCAGATTTGGCTCTAGTGTCCAGGCTTGGAGATCACCAGCCAGGCCGTGATGGAACTCCCATCATCCACTTCATACAACTCGAACTCCTCTGCAGTGCTGAGCCAAGAGCCCACAGAAAGAAGGAATGACAGAAGGGTGTTGGCCCAATAAAATAATGGCCATCAGAGAGAGGGAGAAAGTGGGGATGTGTGGGTCAAAGTGACGATGTTCTGTAGACACATACAATGAAGAAGTTGATGTACAACCCAAGGAGTAGCTACACCATTGTACACCGCAAAATGGCTGCAAGTCCAGGTATTCTGATATCAGCAGGACCTAACGGGGGACTCCTGAGTGTCTCTCCCTCTCTCTCCATATAGCTACGAAAACCACCAGCTAGGAGAATCTGATGATGCTTGGGTTTTGGCAGCATGCTCTTGAATTACAGAGTACCCCCATCCCACTGTGGATTTGGCTTGGAAAACTCCAATCAACCCTCTGGCCCTTGTAGCCAACAGGACCTCCTTGGGCACACTGACCTTGAGGCCTGAGTTTTTGCGCATGCGGAGGCGGCCCATCCACATGTCGGTGAGCAGCATCTGGCTACATGTGTGGGCAATGAAGTCACGGTGCTTGGCAGCCACAGCGAGCTGCAGGCAAGTGGCGTTGCTCCAGTTCTTCAGCTCATACGTCAGCAGCTTCATGGCCAGCTGCTCGTCCTGCTTGTAGGACTGATCCAGGAGCTCCACTGCCAGCTGGCCAAAGTCCCTGGAAGTAAATGTGCAGAAGAATCCTTCAAGCCGGAGCTAGAAGATGCACACTGCCAACTGCATCAGGTGGCAATGGGCAGAGCAGTTGTTTCATATGGGGTCTAGTCTGTTCATGAGTCACCCAGCCCATATTCATGGAGCATCTACTGTGTGTCAGTTATCGCATGCAGAGCTGGAGCCGTGAGGCAAACCAGCTATAGTCCTGTGCTCACTGAAAACAAGGTGAAGAAGGAGGAAGAAGCCGGTCAAGCAGGGAGTACAGGCTGTCTTCTTAAATGGGACTGACCTCACTTCAAACCTGGGTGCTGGCACCATGGCACAGCAAGCTAATCCTCCATCTGCGGCGCTGACATCCTATGTGGATGCCAGCCAGTTCAAGTTCCTGGAACTCTGATTCTGATTCAGCTCCCTGCTGTGGCCTGGGAAAACAGTGGAGGATGGTCCAAGGCCTTGGGATCCTGCACCCATGTGGGAGAATCAGAGGAGTCTCCTGGCTCCTGGCTTTAGACCAACCCAGCTTTGGCCATTGTGGCCATTTGGGGAATGAGCCAGTGGATGGAAAATCTCTTTCCTAACTGACCTTCTAGTAAAAAAATAAAATAAAATAAAATAAAAAGTCTTCAAAAGCTACGAATGTACAGCTTCGCACAAGTTACTTAAAATCTCTGAGTCTCATTTCCACAGCGGGGAGAAGCTCTCATTGGACCTAGGGCAGTTGATAGGATGCGAGTGTATGTTCACGTGTCTGCAGGGGCCTCTGTGTACGCAGCACTGCACAACGAAGGTTGAGAGGTTTTGTTCACCTTCCATGTGCACTAGTGGGATGATGCTACATTCCTTGAGTTTTGGGCAGCTCAGTTTCTCCAGTCTTTGGGGCCTTTCCAGTCTTTGGGGTCTCCCCAGTCTTTGGGGTCCCTCCAGTCTTTGGGGTCCCTCCAGTCTTTGGGTTCCCTCCAGTCTTTGGGGTCTCCCCAGTCTTTGGGGTCCCTCCAGTCTTTCGGGTCTCTCCAGTCTTTGGGGTCTCCCCAGTCTTTGGGGGTCCCTCCTTCCGTTTCTCCCCCGACTACTCTGCTTGCTGAGCTGGCCAACCTGGAGTTGTGGTTCAGCTCCTGGGAAATGTCATCCACCATGTCATTCTCAGAGGCCTCGTGAGCCATGGCCTTGCAGAGCTTACAGGCCACCAGGGCCTTGGCCATGGCCTCTTCCCCGTGCTGCCAGAAGAACAGCGCCATCTTCTGCCGCTTCATGAGCACGGCCCACACCATGAGCTCGTGGAAAGGGAATGGGAAGTGGTTGATCTCAGGGTCATCCAAGTCAATGTCCACCTCTTCCTCGCGCTTCTTGGTGGTCTTTCTTCCTCGCCTCAAGGGGATATCATCCTATGGTTTAGGGAAACACATGTAGGCAGAGTTGGATCTGTTACTTTTAAGAAATTACTGTATATCTTCTATTGACTTGACTCTGGATACACTGGAAAGAGCTCACAAAGGTACCATGCCCAACACACGCTTAAGTATAAACCTAGGGGAACATGCACATTTTACACTTAACAATGGATTCCTTTTTCATTTCACTTTAGTCCATTTCCTCTTCTACTCAAAGGATTATTTGTATTTTATTGCCCTTCTCTGTTAAAAGGACAAGGGCACTCTAGACTTGCACCAGCAAATACGATAGCTACATGAGCAAATCATTGGAAGTGGATCCTCTATCCCCCATGAGATAGATACATTTCTGAAGCAGTTCTGGGCTTTTGTAAACATCCACAAACTTTTTTTTTTTTCTTACTGGAATTTTTTGCTTCCTAGGTTTCCCATTTACCATAACCTCATGGTGGAATTCGTAAAGCTTTTGTGAACAGCATCCATGGACGTAGGCAATGTTTGTCCCCGCCACCTTTTTTTGCAGTCATATCCTAAGTTCTATCACTGAAGTAAACTTACAGATGTGTTTTCAAAATGCATAAAGAGGAAAAATAATTGACATACACACACACAAATTGAGCAAATATTTACCTCCATTCCAAGCAGTTTCAAGGCTTTGGGCTGTTAAAAAATATATTGCAATCAAAGTTAGACCTTTTGTTGCTAGAGAGGTAAGAAGAGAACCCTATAGCACATGTTTAGCAAGTAACATAATGCTATTGTGATATTATTTGTTTTATTTCATTAAACAAGAATACCGCAAGGAAAATTTATTTCCAGAAATTCTAAGACATGTAAGGATTTAGTGGTTTTGAGGAATCACAGACAGGAAAGTGGCAAGTTACCAAGAGATTGGAGATAAAACCTGTGGTTTATAATGTGTCCGGTGACCAAGCTCTCCCTCACTTTCTTACAATAGTCCTGCTTGGCTGACATGTCCATGGCATCCAATACTTGAACAAATGCTGTGGTTCTCAGTGTGCCCTCCCCAAATGTGTGTGTTGAAAACCTCATCCCCAAAGACAGGGTGTCAGGAGATGCACCCTGGGGGAGCTAATGAGGTCAAGAGGAAAGGCTTTCACAAATGGGAACAGCGTGCTTGTAGAAGAGGCCCACTGGAGCCTGCATATTGTTCCTGGACGTGAGGCAGAGCTACAGTCACTGACTATGAACAGGAAATACCCCCTCACCAGGGCCGCATCTGCTCATGACTTGATCTTCAGCTTCCCAAGGCTTTAGAACGTTAAGCCAATTGTGTTGTCTCTAAGCCACCCAGTCAACAGCATTTTATTAGAGAAACTTGAGAAGACTAAGATGGATGAGCAATCCAACATTCAAAAAGATCAAATTAGAGATTCCTCAAGTCTCTGTTCTCTGAGGGCTTGGGACACTATTGTCATGGCCATCTCCTGGCATACAGAGCAAGGGCGAGTGGGCCAGAGGGCAAGTGCCTACAGTGCTCAAAGTTGCTTAAGGGTATCAGCCCCTGGAGAGGCATCATCGGTCATGTGGGATCGTGTGAGGGAGGCACAGGCTGTGCAGAGAGAGATCAGCACAGCACAGACCTCGTTTCCACTCAAGGTGGAGATTCAGCATTACATGTGGGGGCAGGTGTCCCAATGCTATGCTTCTGGGGAGTAAAGAAGTTGTAGCTAATTAGGAAGTGTTTTTTCTTCACCTGATATGGTGTTTGTTGTTATTGTTTATTTTACAGATTCTATTCATTTGAAAGTCAGCTAGAGACAGAGAAAGTCTTCCATCTGCTGGTTCACTCCCCATATGGCTGCAATGAGCCAGCCAGAGACTCCAGTCCAAAGTCAGGAGTCAGAAGATTCTGTTGGGTCTCCAACATGGGTATAGCATCCCCAGGCCTTGAGCCACCCTCCCTGCTTTTCCAGGCATATTGGCAGGGAGTTGGATCAGCTTCTGCAACAAGCACCCACGTGGGATGCAGGCATTGCAAGCAGTGGCTTAAATCACTTTGCCATTGTGCTCACTCCAATGCTATTCTTTTTAAAATTAAGAACAAATTTTAAACACATTTAAGAGCTGATCACTCTATGGAGAGTAAGAAGCCACACCCGGAATCTCCCATAGCTTGGTCCTCCCAGAAGGACTCAAATTTGGTAGAAGCCTCACCCTTTTGGGACCGAAGAGATTGTGGTAGAGGGTTCGGAAGCGCTTGCGTGTGTAGTTGCAGCGATAGGCGCCGCCCATCAGATACTCGATGACCAGGCCGATATCAATCAGGCTGATTCTGTAGTCGGGAGGCAGGTTCCCCTAACCGGGAAAGAAGGAAACAGACACACACACATCCAAGAGACAACGTGGTTTACTTGGGATTCTATTTCATGTGGTCGGTAACTATTTTAGAGTAAAAAAAAAATTAATGAAAAAAGAAACATATGAATGTATTATGCTGGTTAATTAATTCACCTTAAAATAGATCCAACCGAAACCTGGATATTCTCGCTTGGAAAGAAGACATAAATTAAATAAGAAGATGAAGTATTCGTTGACAACAACAGAAAATCAAAATATTTATTCACGTCTTCAGCTGGGGAGAAAAAAACACCAGTGTAGCAAAGAGAAGCACAAAGCTAAACACGGCAAATGCTGTTACTCCCCGGTGCCAGGAGCCAGTGCCCCCATTGCCCAGCTCCAGCTGCCTCGGACCCAGCCCTTCACCCTCAGCCCTGGCCCTCACTGAGCACAACCAGCCACTCGCTGAAGGAAGACTCCATCCAGAAGGTGAAGGTTATGGCCTGCACCTGGGCTGGCCCTGGGCTCGGGTCTCCACTGAGTCATGATGTGTTTCAGGATCAGCGCCTTTTCCAAGAAAGGGGCATGGCGTCTGGAGAAGGGACTGGATGCCAGGGTAAGGGTTGGCACGCACTTCCCCTGTGCTCAAGGAAAAGCGGGGTGAGCAGGGAGAAGGCAGAGTTTCCCAGGATTAAGGTTCTCCACTTCTCCTTAGAAGACAATCAGCTTCTCTCCAGCCTGGCTTTGTGGGGCATCCTTCGGGTGTCCACCATCTATACAGGCCACACGTGGGAACTGTCTTTTCTCTACTCCTTCCTGGGAGCTCACACAGTTGAAGGAGGAATTAGTTCTATCTGTAGGCAATGAGAAGTTCCCAGTGACCTGCCAAGGTTGAGTGGGGCTCTCTGGTTTAGTTCTGTCATGCAGGAGAGTGTTTTTATGCCATGAGTGACTAGGGGACCGCATTGTGTGGGAAGCACTGTGCCCTGAGGAGCGTCAGGATGGACTTTGTCCTTCCTGGAGAGCCCACGCCATGGGAGATTTCCACACGTCTCAGATAAGGCGGTTTTCAGAACACCTCCTTCAGTCTGCCGTGGGTTACGTTCTCTGGGTGATCCTGACACACACCAGCGCTTGCCTAACCTGACTATGGAAGCAGATTCGGGTAGCAGTGACAGAATGCAGGGGAGCTGGGACTCTCAACATGCTAACGGCTCAGCACTGTCAGGCAGCTAGGTCCTCTGGTTGGGCAGCAGGTGGATTTCCTGCCGTTCTTCCTCATGGTGAGCTGCGTCCACTGCAAGGTTTTGAGAGTCAGGGTCAGACTCCTGTGATCTCTACTGTAGCCTACCACCTAAAGTACAATTTTAGTCTTTCAGATTTTACTATCTTTTAATTCCCAGGGCCTTTGAGAAACCCTGAGAATTCTTGTGCTATTGTTGTTGAAAGTAACAGTAAGCCAGTTAAACAGGAAAGCACTGATGTGTCAGAATAAAGTTTGGGCTTGGGAGCTTTGCTACTCCCAGTCACACACCCAAGCAGCCGCGCCGGGCTCACTGACTCGAATAGCCCCCGTTTACTGCAGCAGCGTCCCCTGAGCTGGAGACACTGCTTCCTCTACGACGTGCTAACTCCGCTCAGTGGAGTGGGAATGAAGGGGCAGCAAGGGCACGCCCATGGGATCTCAGGGGTGCCACCCCCACCTGCTGCCGTCTGCCTGTCCCTTGGTTTGGGGTGCTGCCCAGGCCACCTGGGATCACGTGAGGGGTGTTTCAAAACGTGCATCTCCTTCTGCCTGACTGGCGCACGCCAACGTACGCGAAGATTCCTCTCACTGAGTTGCCCTTACACAGCAAACGCTCCCTACTTGCCTTCTGTCTTGCTCAGACTCACACAGCCACAACCTCTTCAGTCGGCAGCTGTTCTGACTCAGCAGGTTAAGGGTCCTCAGGCTATTCAGAAAGACCAATTAGCTGTTTCCTTTATGTAAAGTATGTTCTAGAAAAAGTTTGGTTTTCAGATAGCAGCTTTTAATGTATTGCCCTTTTCATAAAAATCAAACTGAGGTTACAAATGTTAGCCAGGCAGCCACTCTATTATTCTCTGGCAGGTTTTCCGAGGTCACAGCTTCTGCGGCCTCTGCCTTGACTGGAGGGCCTGGCCAGGGGGTTACTGGACCAGCAGTGGCTTCTAGGCGGCTGGACATGCCTCGGTCAGCCTCATCTCAGGTGTGCGTGGCTCCCCCAAGCACGGGCTCTGAGGCCGCCCTGTCTGTGCGCTGGGAGTCGGGCGGGCTGGAGGGCTCTGGCCTCCAGGCCACAGCTCTGGGTTCCTATCCGTCCTTTCTGAGGAACTTCTTCAGAGCTTCTTCTCAGTAAAGCGGGACTGAATTTCCCCACCTCCCGGTCTATAATGTTCAAGTAGCTGGCTTTGATAAAAAGCTCAAAGAGACCATCAGAGCAGGTGTATGAATGCATGCTTTTTAATCTTGTAAGGATAACCTGACTTAAAATATTGGTAGGGGTGAGTGTTCAGTGGTTAAGATGCCCAGATGCTCGATGCAGGACCCCACTCTGCACCTGGCCCCTAACTCCTGCCAGAGCTCACCTTGGGAGACAGCAGGGCTGGCTCGAGTCATGGGTTCCTACCTCCTGCATGGGAGACATGGAGTCAGCTATTACAGGTATTTCAAAGGGAACTGATAAAAGCCAAAACGTGGCTAACAGCTTGATATCTGCATATTTTGTTTTGAGTGTGAACGTGAGTCTTATTTCTAAGACACCAGTGTTTCCCCAATTACCAGTGTCCCAGGGAAGTGTTCACACTCTGGAGGTGTAAGAGCAGGCTTTGTCAGAAAGGTGCCAATGGTAGTAACATTCCAGGGAAGTAACACTTAGTGGCAAAGATGACATTTTTACCCAATGGCTTCGTTATAAAGAGGCATTAGGGGTACAGAAGCTAAAAAGGTCTTGGAATCTTCTCATATAAATGTTCATTATTTCAGAATCATATGTGCATGACCACGTCTGAAGCAGAGAGAACTTGGGGGTCTCTCTGGTTAACATGTTTGGAAGGAACAGCTAAGGAGAAGTTTACTTTAGCAAGTTACACGTGTGTCAGCTTTGTGTGGCAAGGCTCGAGGCACCTGTTCCTGTCCACAGGCTTTTTAGGAGCAGGGAGATGGAGAGTTAATTGGGGGAAAGACGAGATCGGTTTGAGAAAGCTGGGCATGATTTGGGCTTGTTGGGATAACAGTTGAGCGGACTCCGGAGGGCAGGGCAGCATCGGTGAGCGTGAGCGAGGAGCAGGACAGGAGCAGGACGTAGGCTGACGCTCTCCTGCAGGGGCCACAGATGCAGCAAAGGCACTGCTTCCACTAGAGCAGACGTTCCTGGCCAGGGAGGTTACAGCACTTACGCAGTCAACAGCCAGAGACAGGACCCCACAGTGGGAACAGCTGCGCTGTGGTTCCAACGGAACTCCCATGTACCCCTCACCAGCTCACTGCCTCTGCGCTTCAGTTTACGCTCAGCAAACGGGCAGCATGGACCTGGTTAGCTGCAGGGTCCTGTTTCTGAAAGTCCAACTGTGTGAGTAAGATCTGCCGGGTCACCTGGCCGATGGCCTAGCCCAAAGTTTGCAGTTATGGCCTGCAGTTCTGCTGACCGGGATTGAAGGCTTGGAGGCATGGGGAACTTAAGGCAGCCAGGACTGGGTCGTGCTCTTGGCACCCACGTTGCCTGCATAGGGCCAGGAAAGCGCATGGTACCATGTGTACCAACAGGTGCAGTCCAAGAACCATCTGAAGGAGTCTTCCTTTGCGACCCTGTGGTGGGATTCCTTCTACCTGCTGCTTCCTTTGCGCTCCTCCCGCCCTCTTGCTAATTGCTCTGGTAACTGGCGAAGGTGCAACACGTGTTTCTAATGCCTTAATAGCACGTGGTGGGCCACATGAGTCAAACGCTGCTGGGAGAGTGTGGACTCGCTTGGAAATGCTGCCTGTTCGACCTCTGCTGTGAGCCGAGACTGCAAAGGTAAGGTTTAATCCGTGCCATTCCTCAGGGGCTCCTAAGGCAGACATGGCATTTACCGTTTCCACTTGCTCTTCCATGAACTCTGTGTGTCAGCTCACGGCACCAAGTTCTGATTTCAACTATTTGGGAATTCTTTTTTTCCTTGAAACTTACGACGAGCTTTCAAAAATGAGATTGTGTCTCTCTAATGTATGCCAAGTGTGAAATAACTGCCGGCTTCAGGTTTGCTAAGGGAGAAAGGGCAAAAACTGAGAGCTCTGATGCTGACGGGACAGTGGGCTGGGGGTGAGTAGTTGCCAGGCCTCGACGGCAGCTCATGAAAGCCAGGCTGGAAAAGGCCTGAGCCAGGGCTGGCCCAGCCGCCCAGCCCCGTGACTGGCCCAGCCGTCAGCTTGGTAAAACATACGGTATCTGAGAAGTTTATTTAGCAGACGCGGTTATAAATATGGCACTTTCCTACCTACAGTGTCTTTGGGGGGGGAGGCAGGGCTGGTTGGTTTGCTTTCTGTCAAGCTTTGGGTCTTCATTCTCCTCATTAGTACTTCTACATAATCCTCAAAGCCACCCTTCTCTGTCGGGGAAGGGTTAGTAATCTGAAGTTTTAGCACACGTAAGACAGAAAACATTAGTTGAAAACACAGAGGCCCAAGCAGCAGCTGCTGAGCTGGTGGTTCCGTGTCAAGGAGAGCAGCCAGTGGGGGCAGTGACTTGCTGGGAGCACTGGGGCAGCAGGTGGATCTGCGTGGGAGGCCCGCTCAGGGTTAGTGTTGGCTTAGAGGGACCGGAATTTCTGGGCGATGCCGAACAGTAGCTCTTGACTCTAGATTGCTCCCTTGATGGAAACAATCTGAGATGTTGAAGCTAGCTTGGGAGCTATGTTCCACATTCAGTTTTGTTGGTTTTCAAGAGTTGCTGGACACTAGGAAGTGCTGGCTGGCTTGCGGAAGTCAGACCTAAACGCGCCTCCTGGGGTTGTGAGAGCGATTTGAATAAGTGTTGCTAGCTCGTGCACAGCATTTCGCACTGAGGTTCATAATGGGCTCATTTTGCACACAGGTTAAATGTGGCCCTCTCTCTTCTCTAACTACACGATGCCCGCGTTGTTGACAGGCATATTTGTTTTGCGCTGAAAGCCACTGACACGTTCTGAAGGATTTTCGAACCTAGTCCTGTAACCTGTGATCGTTGTATTGGCTCAATTTTCTTGGAAACTGTGAGGAACCATGTGAGAAAGTCACGCGCCATTGCTAACCTCTCTCTGATTCATCTCTTTAGAAGACACGATATAGGGAAGTGGGCTCCCACCGCGGGCCCCTCCTCCGTGGGACACACAACGTAGGTGCCTCCGGTTCTTGGACTGCCTGAGTTCTCAAGCCCTGCTCCGTGGTGATGCGGCACCTGCCTTTATCGCAGGGATGCAGGGAGCCTTTTCCTTAGGGAAGAAGCTGCACATTGGGTTTCTGTCTCTCCTTACCCTTTGGGAAGTCAGTTTAATAATATTCTACAAGATTTAAAAAATAATTTCCCCAGGTGTTTAATTAGCAAGTCAACAAATGCTCATAAAACTACCTTCCTGACCCCTGTAGCTCTCAAATCATCCCTGTCCAAGTCTTTTTGTTAGTTTGTATTATCTTTGAGATTTTTTTCTTTAAGGAGCTGAAGATAATCTCTCCCTTAAAATCCTTCAGGCACCCTCCAGTGGTGTGAGCAAGCGCAAGAGGCAGCACAGGGATTTCAGGAAATGTTATTGCAAAGCAGAGTCCTGCAGGAAGGGGTTTGGATCAGTCGTGCCCAGTGGAGGTGAACTGTAAAAACCCCTCTGAAGATGGGGCGTGGTGTTACTGCTGGGGGACTGGGCAGCGGAAGTGGATGAGTGAGTGATGGGCAGGGTTGAAGAACCGAGGCTTTGTGCTCGCTGGAAAGTTCCACCATCTAGCTAGATAGGGACTTGAGGGGAGGGGAGTGACTCCATTTCCATCATCTCAGAAACTCAAAACATTTGAAAGTGAGCAACACACATCTTGGCATAGGAAACACGTTCAATGTGTGCTCTTCGAGTCTTCTGGGCCTAGTTCAATCTAAAACGAGCCTAGAGGAAGGAGAAAGGGTTTGTGGAAGGCAGCCTAGGGAGTGGGAATGTGGTGGATGAAGGGGAGACGCATCCTTGGTAAGAGAAACTGTTGAACTGGGACAGAGTGCCCTGCCTCACGGCGACCTGGGCTGCTCTGGCTGGCACCAGTGACCCACTTGGTGTGCTGTCATGACGGGAGAAAAGTGCCCAAGGGCCACACGACAACCCTCCTTCTTATTAACATCCTTACTCGTAACTAGCCAAGATCTAGCAGGCCAGCAGTGATGTTCTTTTTTCCTACCTTTGGAGGGAATTTAAAAGGTGACAGGGCACGGGCTATGCTAGCCAATGACTTCCTGTGCGATGAAGAAGCTTACAGCTTCGTTTGGTGGCTTTGTCTGTGCGCACGGATAACATGCCACACAGCAGTGACGGGGCACGCGCATGTCCACGTGGTGCAGGCACACGTGGGGCAGCAACTTCGCCCATCAGCTTTGTCCTCGGGTTTACAGCACTCTGTGGGATACACTGCAGGGCTCAGACCTCACTGACTGCCGAAGGAGACGGAGGTGAAAGAACAAGACTTTTGCTAAATTTAAACACAACTTACTGGGCCTCATTTTCCTTCTCTGTAAATGGAAATAACATATAACAGGCTTTTTAGAGTGCTGTCTGTGAACTGGCTTGATGAGAGCTTATATTCATACTATGCACTTGGTCATCCTAAATAACAATATTTTATTAATCCAAGGATCCAAACTAGCTCTGAATGAACCACTGAGTGTGGTTCTCATTTGTAAATCCAAAGAATTATCCTTAATGCATGCCAACAGGATTTTCCCCTCCTGTCGAATGATCAAGAGCATGACAGAATATTCTAGAGACAATGGAACGCTTGTGCGTTTCCGTCCTCATTCTCTTGAGATTCCCGAGCGGTGCTTCCTGCCCACTGCGGAAGGCTGGGAGGAAGCTACCTCTCGTGGCCCACTAGCATGGCAACTGGCCCTCCTCCCAAACGGGGCATACATCCACGTGGCACAGGGAGAGCCTAGGGCTCCGCTCTGCCAAAGCATCAAGTTCGACAAAAGCATCTAAAACCGCGGCGACTGGGGGGGACCACAGCTGCGTCTAAGCAAAGACATCGTGTTAGAGGACAGACAGGCGAGGCTGTTGGGCAAGGCGGGGCCGGAGCGGGCAGCGACGCTCACTGGGGCGGCTCATGCAAAACAGAGGTGTTTTCCACCACGCCAAGCGGTGAAGCCGGGCCTCCGACCCGCAGGCAGAGGGAGCTTACCTTCTTGACGTCCCTGACCAAGTGGTACAACGTATTCGAGGGCCCATGTCTCTGAAAATAATAAAGAAGAATCAAATAGCTTTGCTAGTCAGGGGCAAGGCACAAGGGATCTGGCAGGGAGGGCTGTGGCGGAGGGCCGCGCCCCGGGGACGCTCAGTGTTATCTGCTTTTCTAAATAAGGGGGCAGGTGGCCCACGTGTGGACGGTGAGGCCCGACTGCCCTTGTGTGTGGGTGGAGACCAAGAGGCTGATTTTTCCACCCTGGAAATACACCAGGGCACGCTGCCATCACAGCTCATGTACTGCGACGACTGAGATTGTTTAAGAAGGGCAGAGGGAAAATATCTGAGGCTTTGGGGTCTGCGGCCTTGATCACACCGCTCAAGTGTGCTGTTCTAGTGTGAGAGCGGCCATAGAGGAAGTGACATGACGCAGCGAGCGGCAGCTCGGCTGTGTTTGATGAAAGCTTTACAAAATCCATCCTTAGGTGGGTCATAGAGAGATAGTGGGGTAGCTTTGTCCTGCCGTTGGTTGCTGGCTGAGACTGGGCTTAAAGGAAAAATCATAGGTTGGGGAAAAAATACTTGGGGAGAATATTGGTGTTAATGGAAGGTAAGAAATGAGCTATCATGCTGTAGTCATTTTAGGAGAAAAAATGCTCAACATAGGATTCCAGGGACAGTTGAATTTCAGATAACAGTGGGACGGTTTTCAGTGTTTCTTCCTTGCTTGGAAGGGCAGGAGGGGACATACGTGAACAGAGAGAGCTAGAGAGAGAGAACCCAAACTGGAGATTCTTCATCTGCCAGTTGCCTTCCCAGATGCCGGCCACAGCTGGAACTGGATCAGGACAGAGGTGCCAGGCAGGAATCCCTTCGGTTCCCCCAAGGGGCCGAGGGTTCCAAGTGCCTGAGTTCGTATCCCTTGTCTCCCAGGCCACGCAATACTGGGTATACAGTGGTACTTTGCATATCTCATGGAAAAATGGAATTAAAGGATATGTTTATTTTGGTTTAAAACTATTTTTGAGACTAAATTTTGGAGAAAGCACATGGAAAATGTGTACTAGGAAAAAGTCCGCCTGTATTTTAAACATTTTTAAACCGAAAAACATACATTTGATGCCATTTTCCTCTAAACTTTTTCAAGTATCCTTATACTTAATCATTGTTGATTATCTGAAATTCAAGCTGGACTGGACATCCTGTGATTGTTTGCCAAGCCAGGTGATCTTCACGAGAGGATGTGTGGCGGTCGGGGAGTTCCGTCCTGAGCAGCCCAGTGCCAAGCCTCCACCTGCGCCCACCCTTGTGGTCGTGCTCACTAGAGCTGCCTCTGGCTTGGAGCCGCGCTGCTCTCCGGAGTCAGGGTGTCTGGCTGCTGAGCAGCTCTCCACAAACGCAGGAGAGGGTCCAGCTGCTGGGCGGCTCCACGCGAGCAAGGGAGAGCCGCCTTGCTTCGCCAGAACCTTGACTTAGCCCCTCTAACTTGGGGTCCAGAAAACAGACCCATCAGACGGGACTGCTGTGAGGATTATGGGGTCCAGCCTTGGCCAAGTGGTTGACACGATGCTTGGCACCTGCCAGTCGTCAGCCTCTGCTGCCGCTGGGCCATTCACCGCCCCCAGCCCTGTCCCTTCACCTGGCTGGGGGTGCAAGGTGTTCATTTTAAATGGGGTGATTGTAAACGGGACACCCCGTTATTTTTGCTGAGATTCTCACTGTTGCTCCAGGAGACAGAAGCCTGCCCTGGTCAGCTGTTCTCTCCTCCAGAAGGAATGCAGCGGAGTGGCAGAGCAGAGCCATTGTGCACCTGTGGCTTAGGGGCTGGGACGCTCGCATTAAGCAGCCCAGGGCTCTGCCTCTTCTGTGGCGGAAGGTTTGTGTCTCCTACAAAAGTGCACGGTGTGGTCACAGCATGGCAGGGTCCCTGGGGAGGGCAGTGCATCCCGAATGCACATGGCCGAGAGGGAAGAGGCATCGCACAGCATTTGGCTCCCTCTTTTCCATCCCCTCCTCCCACCACGTGGGGCCACATCCTCCCCGAAGGATGCAACAAGAAAGCATCCTCTTGGAAGCCAAGGGTGCCCTCACAAGATGCCACCCTCCATGTTCTTGACCTTGGACCCAGAAGTAAGAACGGAGGTATAAATCTGTTGTTTGAGGAGGGCATCGCAGGAAGTCCACAAGATAGTGTACATTTCAGTCCACTATTGCAGATGAGATTTTACGTCTTATTCCAGTATTTCAAAATAAGAATGTCCTGGCTGTTAGGGTGCTGCATATGTTAGGGTGTCGGTCACTTGTATGCTTGGCATTGTCACTTTGCCAATTGCTTCCACCCCGCTTTGGCCACAGTGGCCCAGGGCGGTCCTGGGCTCTCTCCCTCAGATGCCTACAACTGAGCAGTTACAACAAGTGGAACCATGGTGACTTGGCACCTGTTATCAAAGGCAGCAAGTGGTCCATGCACGTGGGAGGGAAGGGTGTGGGGGAGGGAGAGAACCACAAGGCATGTGTGGGGCAGAAGGTAAAACAGGGAAACAAAGTCAGAAGTGCCTTAGCTTGGCCCTACCGTATTGTACAACTCCTCTAGTCTGGAGATGGTGAGGAAACGATGCATGCTTACTCCATTCTCGATGAGCAACTTCACAAAATCCACTCTGTCCAGGACAAGGGCGTCCAGCATGGCTTGCTCCAGAGACCCCACCTGCAAATCAGCTTGCTGAGTCAGGCTGCCCCAGATGCAGACAGCTGTCTCGTCTTGGAAGTCAAGCCGTGCGGTCCTAACTGCCAAGTGCTGGGTCATGGAAAGGTGCAAGTGCTCCTAACATCTTTCTCCCCTTGCCTCTCTGTCCCAACTGCATGCTCTCCTCCCGGAGCGAGGGAAGTGCTGGGCGGGGCAATTTCCCCTCCGTATTTTTGGTAGCATTAATGCAGGGGAAACAAACCAAGCACAGTTACGTAAATCTCTAGTTGCCCATGTTCTCTGGGACCAGGGAGGTCCTGTGCTTTGCCACCAGGACCAGATGGCACCTGCGGGCGGAGGCCTGGTAATTCAGCATCCCGTGGTGTGACCCCGCCATAACCAGTGTGCAGTGCCACTGCCTGGCAGCAACAGCCTCTTCTTTTTGCTCCTCAGCAATACCATAAGAACAGAACGACACATATCACTTCACTTGAACTCAACTTTATCTAATGTACTTTTCCCCAGACATATTAAAAGATGTAGGTTGACGGTTTCAATCACAGACCATTCATAAAGATGGTCATGTTTGGCCTTGTGCTTAGCTGTGATGTCCACCAGGTGGCGGCATTTCCCCAAATTAGAGGGGCGTGCAAGCCAGGGACCGCGTTAAGGCAGGAAGCATTTTTTCCCACCGTCCAGAAAAGGCAGTAGAATCCAGAGCCACTCTCTAGTGTTCCTTCAACAAATACCCTTGCCCAAGCAAATGGGCTTTTCAGAGGGGAAGACGTATACTCTACCGGCCACTGTTGCCCATAAATAAAGATCTGGCTGCGGGCGATGTCCACGCGGTTCCAGGCTAAAGCTAAACTCAGCTGGTCTGGGGCCGAGGCATTGGCACCTGTGCGCAGAGAAGTGGGGAAGAGGGTGGGAGAGAAAACAGCAGTCGGTTATTATTGCGCTCGGCCCTGTTGCATCCCTCTTCCTGGAGAGCTGGCTCGGCTCTCCGTGGGCGGTTACCTGCTTTGCTGTTTTTTTTTTTTTTTAACAGACCATCCCTCCAGGGCAGCGCTGTTTACATGTGGTTATTTAAATGTATTCAAGCAAACAAAGAAAAAACCCCTTTGCTTCCTCTGGCACACCTGCCACATTTCCAGCGCCCCGTGGCACACACTGGCCGGCGGCTGCTGACTGGAGAGCCCAGGCAGGCAGCCTTTCTGTCCTCGTGGGAAGGTCCTCAAGCCTGAGGTGGCCTGGAGGCTTCCTGGAAGCACTGTGCGTGTGGCAGGGCCTGCAGGGACGCAGCGGGCAGCGGGCGGAGAGCGCGGGGCCACGGGGCTGGGTCTGCTGGTTTGCGACTGTAAGATGGAGTTCCTTAAAGCCACTGTTCATCTGTGAAAGGGGGGCTATTGAGATCGTCCTGTTAATCCAAGCAGGATTCGTGACATTACGGGAGTACAACGTGCGGAGAAGTTTCTTAAAGAGTGTCTTTCTTTTATTTGGAAGACAGTTAGAAAGAGAAGGAGAGACAAAATGGTCTTCCCTCCGCTGGTGTGCTCCCCCAATGACGGCAATGACTAGAGCTGGGCCACTTTGAAACCAGGAGCCAGGGCTTCTCCCCGGTCTCTTTCAGAGTTGTAGGGTCCACCCGGAGTGTCCCAGACCCTAGTAGAGAGAGGATAGGAAGTGGAGCAGCCAGGACTCAAATCTGTGCTTGTCTGGGAAGCCAGAGCTGCAGCTGAGGTTTGGCGCACTATGCTACAACACCGGCCCCAAGGGCCAGGCTGTTTATAATTCACCAGCATCATTGGCATGTCCAGGGAAGGCCATCGAGACCACTGTCCCTACCTTCCTGCGTGTCCCACCAGTAAGGGGGATGTACAGGAATAAATGCCCTCCCCTGGCTCAGAGTGGTTGAGCATCTCCCATGTGCTGGGCAAAGATCAGGCACTTTGAATCGTTGTCAGAGCTAATTCTGAGACTTGGCTCTGATTGTGTCCACTGCACAGAAGACGCTGGGGTCCAGAGAGGCTGCTGGGAACAGAGCCATGCCAGCTGCTCCAAGGGGAGAATGAGCAAGAGTGTGCTGCGCACTGCCGGTTCTGCTGGGCTTGGCTGCAGCGCAGGTCACGGGCGCCGAGGAGGGCCCATGGCACGCTGGAAGTCCCCAGGGAGACTCCAAGATGCCATCACACTGCAGTGCAGTCACCCCGAGGAGCTGGGCAGCACTGCGGGCTTTCCTGCCCACTGCCCAGTCTGGGCTCCGTTTGCCTTCTCCCCGCCTCCCTCTGGGCCTCAGAGGTGTCCGTGCTCAACATTAGGGAAGTGTTTCCACGGTGACCACTTCTCAGACTGGAACCCACATCAGCGCAACGTGGAGAACTTGAACCATCTTTATGAATTTGGAAAAGCAGAGTGACACCTTTCCCAGGGCCAGCCCAGGCTGGAACCAGAAGCCAGGAACTCAGTGGTTGGCAGAAAGCCAGGTGTCAGGCGACCAGGTGCAGCCTTTGGGCACACTGGCAGGAAGGTGACTGGGAGTGCGGACACGCTGACATGTGACCCGCACTTGAACAAAGGCTGCGCCCCTTCCCTGCCGCCGGCTCATTGCAAAATTAAAAAATAAGGAAAGTGTTGGTGGGGAATGAGGGCAGGAGGGAGGGCGGGGTGGGGCGTGTTACTGTGCTTCTAAGTCTCTGCTGTGGACTTTTCCCACCTCATCCAAACAAACATGAAAAATCTGCTGACAGTGCCTCGAGAGGCAGATGAGCCTCAGATGTCAAAGAACTGAAATGTCTCGGCCCATCGAAGCTATGCGCCCAAGCTCACAGGTTGCATTAGGAAGGAACACAGCCCCTGAACCACGCAGGCCTCGTCCGCTTGTCAGAACTGCTCAAAGCGTGCTTCTGTGACAGCACGGGGAGTCGGGCAAATCCCGTTTCCTACTGAGATTTTTTTTTTTCCTTTTCAAACTCTCCCTTAAGCAAGAGGCTAGGAGAGAAGATGTATTAAGTTGTAGTGTAAGAGTGAATACAGACACAGAGGCTGTGTTTGAATGATACGAGTAATTGTCTTGAGACAGCACGAGAGGATTGCTTGTAGACCGCCCCAGGGAAGCCCGGGCTGTGGACACTGAGTATGCTCCCCAAGAGAACACCACCCAGACAGGAAGGTGCCTGTGATGCGCTCCCCAGCCCGCATGTGTAACGGGGCCACAGCAGAGTTCCTCGCTTCCAGGAGACTCGGTGGGCTTCCTTCTCCCTGAGTCAGTGGCTTGTTGTGAGCAGCGTCTCTGTCCATCTGTCATCTCTGGTGAAGTTGTGCTCCGCGAGTTTGGAGACCCTTGGTTCCTGCTCCTGCTTAGCACTGGGGCAGTACTGTTAGTGTGAGAGCACAGGTTGAGGAGTTTTATTGTAATATGAGCCAGTCGGGCTTAGGGGCATGTCTTACTTCCATTTTGTGCCCTATGGTCTCCTAACGTCCTGGGTCAGAGAGCCAAGTGTCTTTTTGTAAGCTGACAGTTGACTGGTGGTTGGAGGTCCCTAGGTAGCTTCAGGAGAGGGGTGTGGTCCCCAGAAAGATCACGGCAGAAAGAGAGGGTTTGGACTTTCAGCCCACCCCTCAACTTGTGTGAGGGAGAAGAAATGAGTTGAACCAGTCGTCATTGATGGATTATTTAATGCATTTTGCCTACACGGGACTCCCATAAAAACCCCAAAAGACATGGTTCATGTTTTCCAGAACTTCTGGGGAGCTGAACAAGTGGCGGTTCTTGGAAGGTGGCACCCCACAAAAGCCAGGGAAGATCTGAGCCCACATAAGTGTTTTGTCTGCTTCCTTTGTCATATCCTTACATTAGACCAGTACAGGTGCTTCCTGAGTGCTGTGAGCTGCTCAAGAAAATGAGCAGAACCGAAAGAGAAGGCAATAATAGCCTCGACTTATGACTAGTTGACCAGAAGCGCAGGACCTGACACCTGCGGTATATTTGTGGGGGTGGCAGAGATCTGACCCCATGTGCAGGTAGTGAGTGTCACCACTGAGCTGGGTCAGGACAGCACAGCTCACTCACGTCTTCGGTTGCAGCACTGCTTGGTGGGTGGGGCTGCCAGTCCCTGGTATGGTGATGCATTGGGAGAGTATCATAGGAGGTACTGGGTCTGAGTTTATTTCCAATGTGGGAACTCTTCCATGTTAACATATTGACATCTTTTTTCTTAGGAGGATCAAATTTCACTGGAAAGTTTGTTCCCATCTCCTGTCTGGAAGAGAGACTCGGGAGCTGGCGTACCAGAACACGGGCTGGGTAAGAGCTGCAGTCTTGGCATCTGATATGTAGTGTCCCTGTATCGCTCAGCGTGCAGCCCAGCTCCTAGCACTTGCCATCTCTGGAGAGAACGATTCTTCACTCTTCAGTTGAAGCAGAGAGACATGGTAGGGTATTGTGGTTGCTTCTTAGAGAAAGACTTCCATCACTGATATTTACAGCCATTCCTATTTTCCTCTGCTCTGTTTTGAATGTTTGGACGCCCAGCTCTCTGGGTCTTTGGTCTCATAGGTCAGCCTGGTAACAGTGGAGTATTCCTTTCCTTTTTCCTGGTCTGCTGTTTTCCGTTCTTCCATCTGCTTCTCCAAGGTTTTAGAAATGCATGCACAGTTTTGAGCACATCTCGTTGACTGAAAATGTATCGCATGGTCCTAATTTCTTAATGTTATCTGGGATTTTTAGTTTGCCAGAAAGGAAACTGGTGTGATGGGGATATTTGCAGGTTCAGTTGACCACATCTATCTGGTCTATTTTTGTCTGTCCATGCATTTTCAAGTACTTATAAATGTTAGTTATCACCCTGTGTGAGAAATGGCACCATCGTTACTGTCTCACACTGACCATGAAGCACAGGATGAAGAGCAGGTGTCCTGACTCAGACTCCCTGCCTTCATGCCCAGCCTCCATCCATTCTAGCTGTGTGACCCAAAACATGACACGTGGCTGCTCAATGTCGCAGCTGCCTCTACTGCGAAACGTACGGTACTGACAGTAGCTGCCCCAGTGCACTGTTGTTCATACATGAGGTCTGACTTTGCTGCTGTTGATAGCTTTACTATTGTGATTCCCGTAATTTTACTGTTCATCTAAGCTGCTCCCTTTAGAATTATGCTGCTACCAACCAACCTACATGATCTTGTAGTTAAGCCCAGGCAGATGACTGATGTGATGAATGATGAATGATGGTGATTCATGGCTTTCAAGCAAGTCAAGAAAGAAAAGGTGCGATTCCACAGTCCTGCTGAGAGCAGATGAGTCCTTCACCAGCCCCGCCACACGGGAGCTCTGTGTTTGCAGTCAATATAGTGTGCTTTCTTCCTGTGCCAATTTGGAGAGTTGAAAGCAATTCACAGAGGGCAAGGCTGCTGAGCTCCTGTGTAGCCAGCTGCCAGGAATGGCCACATCTGGCACCAGGGTTGGCTGCTTGGTGCAAGGGAACAAAGATGGGTTTGGGTCTCTGCCTGTTCTTTCTCCAAATGCCGGCAGGGCATCTTGCTTTCCTAGATCTCTGGCTCTGTTCAGTTTGAGATTTCTACAAAGTTGGAGCCAGCAACTGAACACATGCTAGGAATGGCCTGTTAAGACTGCAGCCTTGTGGGTGCTGACGTTTAGTGGGTATGCAGCCACTTGAGCAAACATGCTGCACCTTCTTGTGTTGGTGGTTAAGACCTCGGAACAAAGGACATCACTGTATTCTGTTCTAGGGAGAGGCATTAGTCCAAACCCCACTCTGGCCACCTTTATGAAAGGAGCTGAGCGGACAGCAAGCGGCAAACCTGCAGAGAAAAGGGATGGACTGTACTCCAAAGGAGACGTTTGCTTCACTCTTACAAGGAAGCATGAGGAAGCAAAACTAATGGGAGAAGGTGTGGTGCTGGTGGAGGGAGCTGTGAAGCAGTGCGACACTGGAAATGTCCCCTTGGGAAGTGGTCAAAGGATGCCCGCTGTTCAGTTCCAAGTTCTGTATTACAGGAAAGTAATCCATTTTCCTTGACTCCTCTGTATCCACATTTTAAAAACTGTCTACAGTATTGAAATGCTTTGCATTTTTGTTTTGAAATGATACCTGTGTTTGAGATTTTGACTACTGTGATGAGGAAAAGAAATGACGCCTGTGGACTTGGGGGCCCAGACTGACAGTGACTGCAACCCGGAGGCAGGTGGGGCGTCTGCATTTCTGGACTTGGGTGACACAGAACCGGGGTGATGTGGTGCTTGTATTGTTTGGATTTTTGTTAGTGGTTGTGACTTTTTTTTTTTTTTTTAAGATTTATTTTTATTATTTTTTCATTGGAAAGGCGGATATACAGAGAGGAGAAACAGAGAGGAAGATCTTCCATCCGATGATTCACTCCCCAAGTGAGCGCAACGGGCCGATACTATGCCGATCCGAAGCCAGGAACCTCTTCCGGGTCTCCCACGCGGGTGCAGGGTCCCAAAGCTTTGGGCCGTCCTCGACTGCTTTCCCAGGCCACAGGCAGGGAGCTGGAAGGGAAGCGGGGCTGCCGGGATTAGAACCGGCGCCCATATGGGATCCCGGGGGTGCAAGGCGAGGACCTTTAACCACTTGCGCCACCGCGCCGGGCCAGTGGTTGTGACTTTTGTTAGTTGGACCAGGACCCAACCACTTGTATCAAGAAATGTTTCTTTGTGAAATGCCTAGTCATTGTCAGGTGTTTTGCTGGCTGCTGAGATACTAAGGCAAAAAGACAGACTCCTTTTTCTCCCAGAACGTCTCGGGTGGGAGGCGGGGCTTGCCACCAGGGCATTCACAGCTCCTATGTTGAATGGGCATCTCTGGTTTACTGTGGTCGTTCTTGGTTTCCTGCCCAGGACAGTGCCAGTTTGAAGATGAAGGGGTATTCATTTCGCAGAGTTGTTGTGAAGATAAGATGATAAAATGCTCTTAGTTGTTAAGCACTACTGGCAAATAAAAGGGATTAAGAGATTTAAGTTTTTTATCGCCCTTTCCTCTTGGAGATAAGCAGGCATGCCTGAATATACTATCCACCTTAATCCCTTTTATTACTCTGAAATCTGTTTGGATTTGCATGAAAATAAATTTGCCAGAAAATTAATTTCATGTTAAGGCAGTTTAGCATATGCTCAACCATTTTTCAGATTAATCTGCTCTGATGTGTCCTGGACTCTGACCTGTATGCTAGAGGTGTTCTGTTTGCTTTTACGATGTTTTTTATTCTTCCAATTTGATCCCTTCAAATTTAACATATTAGAATTGTGATGGGTTTTAGGTTTGGGCACCTCTCCATGTCCTAGGAACTGTGAAAACCTATTTTAAAAGGGAAAGAGTAGGGACCAAGTATGTGAGCTCCTTTTGACTACTGGGATGGCTGAGGGCTCACTGTGGATCCTTTTCTCAGCTTGGGGAGCTGAGACTAAACTTGGTTATCTGGTCACAGTCAGTAAAGAAATGAATGGTCAAGATTTGAATTATCACGTATTTAAATTCTACAAAATTGAGACAAACTCTAATACCAATAGAAACATTTGGCAGCAGTAACATATCTTAGGGGAGTGGCCCTTACGTGATGTGTAATTAGAGGTGTCAGATCTCTATTAGGAAACAAGGTTGGTGTGCGAATCCATTTATCACATGCTACAATTCTCTGTCCATGGAGTTCATGCTTTTACCTTTGAGCAAAGCTGTCAGGATGGCTAAATCAATGTCCTGATGTCCCTCCGATCCCATCCGGAACACTGTGATCTGCAATTTGAGACAAAATCCTGATTAGCAATACGTTCTTGTCCCCCAAGAGAAACTAAATGGAGGCTATGTGGAAAGCAGCTATGGTAAGATCTCGTAAGCACAGAGCAGGCGTACAAATCAAGGATGGAAATGCTTTAGAAATGCATAGTTCCTAGAACATTTATGAGGAAGACAATGCCAGGCGTATTTTTTTTAACATAATACTTGGTTTAACAGTTATTTGATTTTAGATTTTCTGCCTTTTCTTGGCTTAATTTTAGTTTTCTTGAGTGCGTGAGTTAGTTTCAAATAGTTATGTTTAGGAGATTGGTTTGAGGAAAACATTAAAAAGTAAGATACTCCACCTAAGAATGGTAGCATGGGGTGCATACGGGGATGCAGCTGTGACGAAATCTCTCTGGATGCGTGCATCCATGTTAGCATCGCAGGTTCAAGACCTGTCTCTGCTTCTCAGGTAACTTCTGTGCAGCTGGGAAGCAGCCGACCACGGCTGGAATGCTTGAGTCCTTGCCTCCAAGTGCGAGGCCAGATGGAATTTCTGACTCCTGGTTGGGCCCAGCTGCAGCTATAGCTGGCATCTGAGGAGTAAGGCAGTGGATGGAGAATCTATTTTTCTAAAACATGAATATTGAATGGTAATGTAACCAAAATAAAAATAGTTGAAGAGATTGTCACAAGCATTAAGACTCCACTTTAACACAAGAGCCTGCCGGAGATGATCCTCATTTTTGAGGAGTTAAACACTGAGAGTTTTGGGAAAGCCTGTGTGCTGCCCGAGTGTTAGGCTTGGTTAAGGAGACTTGGTGCGGATGTGACATTTTTGAGATACCAGTTGTCTGGATCAGTTAACTCCAAAGTATGTTTTGCTCAAATTTTTGAAATTGGTTCCATGCAGATTAAATTGCAGTTGAGAGACTCCAAGCAGGTGTATATTAAAGAAAAATGAAATAGTGTGGAAATGATCTACGGAAGTAATTTTACATTGGGAAATATTTTGGTTTGTTTTTGAGATACAAATTAAAATACTGACTAGTTAAATAGCAACAAAGTGTTCAATCATGTGTGACTGAATTAATCATAGATTTTCCATTTCTAAAACAGCAGATGTTACAGTTGAAGATGGTGAGGGTAGAGAGAAGTGCATAGGGAAAATGAAGATTACTCAACTTTCAAGGTAGCTATTAATTGGTTTAATTTCTGATTTGCATTTATGTCACGTGAGCACCAAAGCTGTGACAACAGACATGGAGAGTGAATGGAGCTTTTGAAAATGAAAACCATGATATTACACTGAACCATGTTTGTAAGCTGCAAGGACACTTTAGGTCAAGCTGTCAAAAACAGAAATGAATATTCCACAGTCATTTCATGCTGTGTTAAATCTGTACGAGATGATATCTGAGTTTGACAAATCTCTAACATGTCTGCATTTTTAGAGAAATGTATGAACAGTAAGTCAGTAAAGAAAATGTATACAACCTTTTCAGAATTAGGAAAAACACACTTAGCCTCATGTCTACCTACAAAGAGCACTAAAGCTGCTACATCTCTAACTTCTCTAAGAACAGTTACAGAATGTTTTTTTTTTTAATCTTACATAATTTCTTAATAAAACCTGGAGATTTTTCCTGTCAGCCACTGCTATCAAAAGGAAAAAGAATAATGATGGCCAGTCTGGATAATAAGAAGAGCTCGCTCTTGGACACCGCTATTGTAGGGAGACTTCTCACAACATCAGAGCAGAGCCAGGTGGCCTGGCTCTTGGAGGGCTGGCACATGCAGGCAGAGGGAAGGAAGTCAGTCTGATGAACAGCTACCCATACTGCCTTGTTCTTGGGCATGAGCCAGCTGGGGATGTGAAGCTGCCATCTTCAGGGTGGCTTTCTGGGCCTTGTCTGTTGGAGCAGCAAGAGAAATTCGATAGCCAAGTTCTGAAATCTTCGGAAATGTCCTTCAAGGGATAAAGAAGCAGCAGCCTGTATACACAGCAGATTACTGTTGAATTGCAAAAAGATGAAGCAACTTGATAATCAACTGACACTAAACCAGTTGCAGCAGGCTGAAGGGATCCTGGGGTCCTTACAGATGACATGAATCAGACAAAGAATCTCGCCCATATGTGGCGTCCAGAAGAGCTGATCTCTTCAAGTAGGAAGTAGAGCAGTTGTTGCTGAGGTTGGCACGGAGCCCCTGCCACCTGCGAGGGGCACTTGGTTGCCTTCCTGGCTCCAGCAGCAGCATCCCAGCTGCAGTTGAGAAGTCAGGACGTGCGAGCTCTTTGCTTCTCTAAGCTCTCAAAGAAGTAAATGTATAAAACTCATGGAAACTGTGTATTATGAAATGTTATGCATAGATTGAAAGCTATTTTTGCACAAAAATAAACTTTTCATGTGATTTCCCATGAACTTTTTAAAGTTCCTTCGTATTTGCTTTAAAGCCTTCCTTATGTTCTAGATTGTTTCTATAACACCTGTCAAGGTAAATGTCATAGAAATCACTGCACAGTTACAGAATAATGAAAAAAAGGAGTCTGCATGTATTCAGTGTAGACACAATTCCATCCCAAGTATTGTCAGTTCCAAGTATGGAACACAGGGAAATGAAGCACCTGTTCTGTTGACCTCATGGAGTAGTTTCTGAGCAAATTTCACAGTTTCATAAAGGATCTAGGTGGAAAAAGGTGCTACTATGAAGAAAGGAATTAGGAGGAATTAATATAATTCCAGTGCGTTCTGTAAGGCTTGTGTATGAATTTACTTTCAAAGGAGTGTTTTATTCTGTAATTACCGGTTTGCTTTCCAGGTGGTGCGTTTTGTCACACTTTCTGCACCCGACTCGATCTAGGTTCCTGTAGGTGGTGGTCTGTTACAGCTCGGGTCGTTTGCATCACCGCTCCCTCCACACTCCACCAGGGACCCGTGGGTAAACGACTTTGCCATTAGAGTGCCAGAGAATGAGAGAGATTTCGTTTTAGACTCTAACACCTGACTTTCTGTTTGCTTTCTTCTCACCAGGAAATGCAGTTCCAAGGCCAGGGGTCACTGGTTCTAACGCAAGCAAACATTTTTTTTTTCTTCTTATTAAGCAATACATGCTTGTCATTAAAAATTATAGGAAGCTTAAAAAGAAGTAAAATAAAAGACACTCCAGGTCCTATTCAAAGACAGCTACTAATGAAATTTTGGTTTATTTACTTCATGCTGTTTCTCAATTTCCATATATACATATTTTTTTTCTTGTAGGAAGCATGTGTGTGGGTGGGTGGGTGGAGGGATTTGTGAAATACTGTTTTGTTTTTTCATATTCCTTTTCACTAACAGTATATTCAAGTGCTTTCCAATACTGATCCTATTTGATAATGTTTAATGTTTGTAGAATATTTTCTCTAGCAGACATGGCACAGTTAACTTACTCAATGTTCCCATTGTTGGATATTTAGATAGTTTCTAAATGTTTGATATAAACACCGATGTGATGAACATCTTTGTGTATGCATTCTGCTATGCATTTCACTTTGTATCTTTAGGGTGAATTCCCAAAAGTTTGGGGCTTTTATCACCATTTTTCTTGAAGCTTCCAAGTATTTTAGCACATCAAAGTGAGCTGTGATAAAAGGAGGCCTGGGTTGTTCTTGAAGCAGATGTGCTGTGATGGTTTTCCAGTGTTGTGAATGAAAGCCCTGGGGACGGCGATTGCTGCACAGAGGGACTGGAGCGCACAGACACAGGCATGCGCTCAGAGCTCAGACTTCCCACCCTCGGGCGGAGGAGTCCTGAGAAGCAGCCGCTGCACCCAGCCCTCTCTGCTTCGCTCCCAGGGATCCTCACTAAGAGATGATGAACTTGCCTGATGGAAACGGAGTGTTGAAAACCAGGCGGACCTCATCATTCTCTCCCATTTCCCCTTTATGTATCTCCAACCTTGGCTGGAAGGACCAAGAATAGTTGTCGCCAACCATCTTATCAACCAACAAAGATCTAGATTTTTATTAGGTAGCAGAGGCTATTTGAGAGAACGATACCATTCATAGCTCTTTATAACGCAGCCAATTTGCAAGAGCAGATAAGGCCAAAGTCAGTACACACATGGATTCTGTGACTCCATGGGTTCCTAAAACAAACCAAGCAATTGAAAAATTTCTTTAAAGTAGAAATGTGTGTGTGATAAATGTCATCCTAAGACATTCTTTTATCTAGTCTGTCATCATTTCAAAAAAGGCCCGTGAAAATGCAACAAGCATGCCACAAGGAGCCAGAAAGACGGGCACTCCACAGGCACCAGCAGCCTGAAGATCCTGTGGAGCGACAGGCTTGGGCACATTTTCCACATGGGTTGGTTTTGTTTTTTTTCCCCAGCCTGTCAGGCTAGTTGAGTTCCTCCGTTATTTCCCAGGTGTGACAGGCAGTCAACAGCTTTGCTGGGAATGACAAGTTTCATTTCAATGACTTCAGTCTGTAATTTCAAGTAGACTGGCTGCTTGACTGGCCCAATCAACTCGAGGTTTCAATTGCTTTGCAAGCATCACTTTATGGAACTTAGTAATCAACACACCCACTTGGGTCTGGGGGAAAAACTCATAAATCACTTACAGGAAAAGCATATTTTAAGTTTTCATGAGCACAGCCATTAATAGTAGCTGGTTCTACACTTTGGGATGCGGACTTGGACAGCTGACATTTCTGGGAACGGGCCGGAACGCAGGGAGGGGACTGGCCACCCGTTCATCCAGACTGGGAGAGAACAGCAGACATTCCTGCTGTCACTCCAACTGCACACTCGCACTGGACTACGCCTGCAGCTTCTACAATCACGAAATGTAATAGCTTAAGACTATTTGACTATCAAAGAGATAAAATAGTCTATATGCTAACAAGTTTTTGAGTTTAAACCAGAGTGGTACAACCTGCCCCATTGTATACGCTGATTCAGTACACACTGACAGCTGTGCAGAAGAGGATTCCAGAACAGTTGGGCCGGAATGATCCACTGTCTTTTTC